GGCGATCGCTTCCACCAGGATAGACTGGACTTTGAACGCCGCTACCAAGGACAGTAGAACGAGAACATGATGGGAGACTACATTTGGGGGCTGACTCGTGAAAGTGATTTACAGTATAATCTTAAATTTCGAAAAACTACTCATTTCTAAACCTTTTGTAGTCATTTTTTATTAATTTAGTATAAATACATGTTAATTTTGATTCATTTGTTTTTTTCTGACTTTGTGAACAAAAATACACAAATTCGCCCGTTTTCTCATTGAAAATAGGTAAATTTCAAAATATCACTGTCCTGGTCACAAAAGCAAAGTTTGTGGGGAAAAATAGCCATTTTATATACTTTTAGGCATAAGAAATTACGAAATAACACTACCCAGGAACAAAAATTGTGTTACATCGTGTAATCCGTCATTTGCGGTGGACGTCCTCAGGGGCGCGCTCTCCCCTTCGGCTGCTGCTCTGTTGGCACCTCCGATTAGCACGGTTGGCTACGTACGGTGCGAAAGAAGTTCAACGTACATACTGTACATACAGCCTCGGCTGTCACCCCTTCTAGCCATCCACGTGTTGTCGGGCGAACATCAGAGACGTCCTTTTGCCTGTTCAGAACGATCGCCGGCCAAAGGGTTTATAACGGTTCTAACGTGATATCCGTGTGAGATGAAAGGGCCGTGCCTTGGCCTGTGTAAGGGTCGCCGTGAACGATCTGCAGACAGACCGGCTTCACCCGTGACAGCTGCACGCGTGTGTGATGGGCAGGCAGTGTAACGCGCATCAGCAGCAGCAGCAGCCAGCCCTCTGATGATGTGGTGACTGATGTGAGGCCCAATATACTATGAACTTCAATGAAGCAGAGACACAAGGGAGAGAACCTTTTTGAGTCGCCTTTGCTTAGAGTGGCGCTTTTAGATTGAATGTTCCATATGCTAGACGTTACTGTCTTAGGGGTGTGACGCTTCGGACAAAACAACACACTCAATCGCAGCAGGTCGCCGCAACTAAGCAGACTTTAGCCTGGACCGTGTCTGTATGGGTGACTGTTATACACAGATTGTTACAGGCAGCTGCGCGGCTGTGCTATGTTTTGGACTGCAGATGGCAGTGCGCAAAAAGGTGTTGTACTGCGCTTCTAATCATAATAAACGCTTTTGGGTTAGATCGCGTAAGTATAAATGTGTACTTACGCGATCTTACTCAAAAGAATTCATTATGAATAATACTGGTCGCGACAGCCTACGTGTTAAACTGCGCTTCTATTCTCCCACGTCTATTACTCCCTGCCCAGACTTGACAGCAGAGACTCGGCCGCAGAAGTGGTTCAGATATCACCACTGATGTTAGCCGTGGCCTGGAATCAAACTTGGGTTTCCAGGTTCATAGAGCAGTGCTAAATCCACTGTGGCATGACCCCACCCTTCACGGACAACCATCGACATGCTTCCATCAGAGACAACATGTAGATCCATTCATTGGCATTGGCTGTGCTGTTGATCAACTCGATCCCGTCACAGAAATTTGGAATGTCCATAACTGGCTCAGGATTGTAAACAGTTGCGCACTGCCCCATCCTGGATTCATTTATTTTAAAAGACATTAACCTTTCAAAAATATATCGTTTTTTTAACTGGTGCGCAGTCTGTGAATCCGTGGTTTATTTAGTCTCTTACGCAGCCATGCAGCGTCACGGCATGCAGGGTATGATTGGCATACCGTATACTCCTAATCTTGATTTGAGGTGGTCGCACCCATCAACCTGGCTCATGGATTTTATGTGCGTGACGACATCAGGTGGAGCAGATCCCGTTACACCACGAGTCGCCGGTCATGCGAGCAAACATGAACATGCGTGACCGTTCCCACATTCCTGCCAGCGGCAGATAGGCGGCGTTATGAACGCCGGGACATGTTCATAGTGAGAAGCGTGCCACGGCTTTCAATATCACACGATGCAGATAGGAGTAAGGGCACGCAAGCAGTTTGGGGGACGGAGCGTGCTAGCCAACCACTATCGCTCATCAAACTAGCCATAACCCTCACGAACTAGCCAAACTGACAATAGTAGCACTCCCCTAGCGCTAGCAAGGAGAGTGCTACTGGGGTGGGCGCTGCACCACCACCAAAGGTCCATGTAGCACCAGCCGAGTTCACTCTGCTTAGCGGTTAATCACTGTTATCATGGTGGCCTCCACATCCCCATCCCAGAGGAGCTGCAGCCGGGCCTGCTTCCCCCCAACCCTAACCAGCGAGCCGGTTACCAATACTTATCCCTCTTACCAACTAGCTACTGGTACTATAGCCTTACTTCTCAACCAACTAGCCAACCAGGCACTAGTACTGGCTCCCGTGCTGATCCTAATCACATCTGCAAGCGTCTCGCCAGATCATTTTTTTTCATCGTTTGTCTTTTCAATGTTGGCGATCACAGAGCTTTAAGAATGCAGAGTCGTCAACATGAACACCGTCGTCGTCAGCATCGCAGTCTCGGGAGACCATAGATTTATTGTGCCTTGGGGGTTAGGTCTTAGCGTAGCATCTGCTCTGCCTGGGAAGTCCAATCCGTGAGAGGCAGACTCGGCCGCAGTTGTCACAGATGTAGGCCGGCCTGGATGTTGTCGATGTTTTGGTCGTGTCCTGATGTTCCTTCCTCCTCAATCTCTTTGCTTCTCGTTGATGAGCCACAGTTGTTTCGTTTATCAGCAGCCTCCTGCCAGAGAAGACGGTCCTGGGCAGCATCTTCCCAGGTGTCGGTGTTGATGACGAATGACTTTAGATCTTGCTTGCAGACATCTTTGTAGTGTAGCGGTGGGCAGCCAGCTGATCTCTTTAAGGAGGACAATTCTGCGTAGAGAATGTCCTTCGGTATTCGTCCGTCATCCATCCGACGGACGTGGCCCAGCCAGCATAGACGTCGCTGCCTCAGGAGAGAATACATACTGGGTAGCTGTGCTCTCCAGAACTGCTGAATGCGTGATCCTATCCTTCCAGGTGAGGCCTAGTATTCGCCTCGGGCAGCATAGGTGGAGTTTGTTTCGCCTCGTGGTGTCCAGGTTTCCATACAACGCTGGTGATGCATGCTTTTTACACCTGTACCTTTGTGTGAACTCTGAGTTTTTGGTTGTTCCATACCCTAGATGTCAGTTTTCCAAAGGTGGAGGCTGCTTTTCCGATGTGGCTGCTGAGTTCGGCATTGAGTGACAGATTGTTGGTGATGGTGGACCCAAGTTAAGTGAAAGTGCTGACGGCTGCCAGTGTGTAGTTGTTGATGGTGATAGAGGGGGGGGGGGGGTTTGTACCCTAACCCATTTTTTGGTTTTCTTCAGGCTGATGGTCAAGCTGAAATCCTGGCATGCTTGGATGAACTGGTCCATGAGGGTTTGTAGCTGCTTTTGGGAGTGTGCCGCTGCTGCAGCGTTATCTGCAAACAGCATGTCCAGAACGAGGAGTGTTCGCACCTTTGCTTTTGCTTTTAACCAAACAAGGTTTAATAGTTTCCGATCTGTTCTTGTGTGTAGGTAGACTCCCTCGATGGATGTCCCAAAGGCTTTGCCGGAGGAGGAGGGAAAGGAATATCCCGAACAGGGTGATTGACAGCCTACATCCTTGCTTGACACCGCCACATATTTTGAAAGGGTCTGAAGTAGACCCATCAAACTGGATGGTGCCTTGCATGTTGTTGTGAAAGGACTGAAGAATGCTGAAGCGTTCTGGGGTGCAACCTATCCATTCGACCATCTTAAACAAGCCACACCTGCTCACAAGAGCGAAAGCTTTTGTGAAATCAATGAAGGCCATGTCGAGTGGTTTTCTCTGCTCTCTGCACTTTCATGGAGTTGTCTCAGAGAGAATATCACGTCCGTGGTTGATCTTCCTGCTCTGAACCCTGCCTGTGCCTCTGGATAAAGCTTCTCTGCGAGGACCTGGAGTCTATTCAGTGCAACGCTAGCAAAGAGCTTACCAGTGAAGCTGAGTAAGGAGATGCCACGGTAGTTGTTACAGTCACACCTGTCTCCCCTGTTTTTGTACAGGATGACAGTACTGGCATCTCGCGTGTCCTTGTGGGACAGTACCATCCCTCCAGTACAGACACGGCGTGCGAATATGGCTGTAGATTACTCAGCCAAACAAGGGAAGAGCTCACATGTGTCTGAACTAAACGTGGCAGTGAGTGCTGACATGAACATCCATGGCTTAATTTCAAATGGGTCAGTCTGCGTCAGTCACTCGAATATTTCCGCATGCGGAACACCACATCCAGTATACATCTCGAGATTGGTGTGGCTACGAGTCAAAAATGAAGCCCTGCTCGTATTCAGCACTCCCCCTGTCCTGCCACTCCAATCCGCATATAAGTGATTGAAACATCATCGGAGAGTGCAAGATATATAAGCTACGGTACCTTTACATACGCGGGCGAATATTTATATAGAATTAATGGTTATGAAGTTACCGAGCTAGTCAACGGCCGAATCTCACCGCCTGGGCGGTTTGCCACATTAATCGCTCGTGGTGGTGGTGGTGGTGACGAACAGTGGGGGAAGCTTTCACCAAAAATCGCACGAAAAGGGAAATCCGCAAACAACAGCGTACGGATCGGGCCCATATATGTGAAAGCATTGGTCAATGACAATGTAATGAATATACTGTAGTAGATTCAATGTGCGCCTGATATATATACAAGATGTGAATCTACATTGTTGTAGATTTGAACATCGCCAACATCGCACCAACCAGCATAGTGAAGGATGGTTAAACAACTCCTATGACCGACACAGCAGCGTGGAGGACGAGAGAGGGCCTTCTTCCAGGAGTATATTGGCATAGCACTGCTATGTAAAATGGATATTGTATTCATGCACATATGAGCCGCGGGCTTTGAATAATGCGAAGGGCAGGGGATCATGCGGATGGGGGTGGTGGGGAGGGAGAAGTTGGGGTTGGGTGGTGGGGCGGGAGACGTTGGGGTTGGGTGGTGGGGGGGGTGCGAGATTCGTGACGCACGGAGCCACAGCAGGGCTCCGCCTGTGCTGCGCGCGCGGGTCCACGTGTTGCGTCTCAGTGTGCGCATCAGTGCGCATCAGTCCTCCGTGTGTTCCTGTGTACGCGCCCGTGGTGTATTGGCAGCAGCAGCAGGAGCAGAGGCAGCAAGGGAGGAACCTGCGCTCGTGACACCACGCGCGACGCTGGGATTTGACACGAGCTGTGGGGCAGAGCGTGCGGTGAGCGGCGACACGCAGTTTGGGCCATGCTGAGCTGCTCTTAGCCACGGACGTGAGAGGAGAAACAGAGGTTTTGAGTGGGGGACGGGGACTGCAAGCGGGCTTCAGTTTGGTTGGATTTGCCCACGTTCTTTGCGGGAGAGCTGTCTCCTGGAGATGCGGCCGTGCGCAGAAGTCTCGACATACTTCAGGATGCAGTGGAATTCGTAACATCTGGACTGCGTGCGGAGACAAACACCCCCATCCACGATACTCTGACTTGTACCTCGAGCACAACACGCGAGGCGTCATACACGACATACATATACGTAAATGTGGACATGCATTTACGCATGCAATATTAATGACATACTATACACAAACATAGTTATTTACACAAGTATACTCGCTAACATATACAAAAACATATGCATAAACGTATACTACACGGATTTACATGATCGTTTAATGAACATACACGCACTGGTATACCCACCTACACACACTCGCTTAACCACATACTCAAGCGAATAAACACGTATACGTATACAACAAACTCGTACACACAAACTCATACACACATACAGACTGATACACACAAATACACATACAAACTCATACATACAGACACACGCACGCACACGCGCGTACACACGCACGCACGCGCACGTGCCATGGCGCGGCTGGGCCCCCTGTGCCGTGCTCCCCGGCTGCTGCTCCACTTCCTCGCCCTGCTGTGCTGCGCCTGCGCCTACAACGTGGACCTGGGGTCCCGGCTCGTGTTCACGGGACCCAATGGCAGCTACTTCGGCTACTCTGTGCTGGGGCACAGCTACAGGGACTCCAGCTGGTAGGGCGCCACGCCGGGTACCCCTTTTAGCGTGTGTGCACCCATGTGTGGGGTGTATGTGTGTACCCATGTGTGGGGTGTATGTGTGTACCCATGTGTGGGGTGTATGTGTGTACCCATGTGTGGGGTGTATGTGTGTACCCATGTGTGGGGTGTATGTGTGTACCCATGTGTGGGGTGTATGTGTGTACCCATGTGTGGGGTGTATGTGTGTACCCATGTGTGGGGTGTATGTGTGTACCCATGTGTGGGGTGTATGTGTGTACCCATGTGTGTGGTGTATGTGTGGGGTGTATGTGTGTACCCATGTGTGGGGTGTATGTGTGCACCCATGTGTGGGGTGTATGTGTGTACCCATGTGTGGGGTGTATGTGTGCACCCATGTGTGGGGTGTACGTGTGCACCCATGTGTGGGGTGTATGTGTGCACCCATGTGTGTGGTGTATGTGTGTACCCATGTGTGTGGTGTATGTGTGGGGTGTATGTGTGTACCCATGTGTGGGGTGTATGTGTATACCAATGTGTGTGGTGAGCGGTGGCGCAGTGGTTCGAGGCACTGCGCTACGAACATTCTGAGTTCGATTCCTGGCCCAGGCTAACATTAGTGGTGAGTGGTATCAGAACCGGGCCTGCTCTAGATCGACTCGACCTTGAATGATTACATGAAAAGGTATGTCTAAACTTTGCTTGAGACTCCCCAGGGTCGACTCGACCTTAAATATATACCTTCTACAGTGTGTGTGCGCACATCAGAGAGACAAAGGCAGCCGGGCATGGTCCTGGGCACACGACCCTTTCGTGTTGCGTTCCGGCTTTACGAGATTATCACTAAGCGGTAATTCTACCGCCCGTCTGTGCCTATTCGGGTAGCCTGCAATGAGCTACTGAAGTAACACGCGCAATACACACTGGCGTTATTGGGTGTGATAAACAGCGCTGTGTGATGGACAGGCCGGCTTGCACGTGCTACAGCCGAGGTGTGTAATGAAACGATAACCGTACGCAATGTCTGTGTGCATTGTGTAACGTCTGCATGCCAATTGCATTTGAACACGCCGCATTATATTGCACGCTTGGTGGTAATAATGCTGCTGCACGTGCGTATGCCGATGCAACACACGGACCCACCAGCTGCGTAGCTATTTGAGCAGACGGCGTGCCCGGACTCCGGGGGTACGACACGGGACGTTGGGGTTGGGAAAGGACAGCCCCCCCCCCCCCATTTGGATGATTTATCCATACCAACAACGCTACGTCGCTCATACCAACGTGGTCGACAAGCGCTGTAGAGTTACTGTGATTTCAAGAAGGGGGAGATACCATTGTAGAAAACACTAGAATTGAGATGCAGTGCGTGAGGTCGTTGAGCCCACAGGGGCCAGCAGTGGACTCGGTGACGAATGCGTTCGCTGGGGGTGGGGGGGGGGACGATCGTGTCTGTAATGTAGGTTGAACTTCTTTTGCACCGTACATAACCAACCGTGCTAATCGGAGGTAATCGCGGGTAATGGTCGTGTCGCCCACGCGGGATATTTCTGCTAATGCCGCAACGCTCTGCCGAGGGGTGGTTGTTATCCCTCTTACTGTGTAGGTTACAGTTACACAAATGTCAGGGTTTCTTAGCACAGGACCAAAGCCCCAAAAACGCCGAACGGCCAGCAACAATCAGCACTGTTGAGTGTATACTATACGGGGAGTCATCGACTTACGAACGTGTTCAGTTCTGAGACCCGCTCGTTAGTCGAGCGGTTCGTAAGTTGGAACATGAACACAGCAATGCACTGTATTTAAATGCACCTTTAGTCAGTGTGTGTTACGGTTCAAGAAAAAGGGAAACTTGACTTAAAGCTTTCGTGACTGCAGGGATTCATATTCTTTGGGTCTTTTGGTAAAGTCACGTAGATAGGTTCAAAGAAAATAACAAACTACGACGTTTCGATCGCAACACAAGCGGTCGTCATCAGGAAAAGGGGGTTATTTTTGAACCTATCTAAGTGACTTTACCGAAAGACCCAAAGAACATTAAAAAAACTGATGCATTGTTAAACTCATAAATAATTGTACATTTTTATGTAATACAGTACTGTAATAAATATTGTAAAGAAAAATCTACGCGACTACGGGGAGAACATGCAAACTACAAATATACAACAGCCTGTATACCAGGCGAGGTAGTTATCATCTCTTTACCGTGTAGAGATGATAACCCAGGTGGACAGGTTTATAACCCTGTGCTAACCATTGCGCAACCACGCCACCTAAGCAGCTGTGTACATTGCATTGTGATAGAAAATGTGTGGCGGTAAAGCTGACGCTGTACTCTTTCAGAATTGCCCCGTTGAAAAGTACAATACCATTCAGTATAATCCTGATTCATATAGCGTCTGAAGAATGCTTCTGCATATCATGACGCTGGCCAGAACAGATGCTGAATGATTCCCACGGGGAGTAGGACGAGGTCTGTATATCAAAAAAGAGGCAGTCATAGGCAGAGGAGAAGAGGACCTTTGAATAAGTGTAACCATTCTGTTTCTATTATAAAGCTGTGTTATGTAAAATATTTGTATTTTAACAAAGACCCCTCTCACCAAGTAGCGCTCATTGCACTACAAAACCATGGTGATGTATTGAGACTCATTCATTATGTAGTGGATGCGTGCCAGGCTGGCTGCTTGACACTTGAGAGTTGAGATAAGTATGTGTCATTGAGATCAGAACCATAGCTCCAAATTGCCACTGCTTCCCTCTGTTGGCTGATATGGTTGATGAACTTGGGCTGGGAGCTCAGGAGTTGTACTCGTGGGTTTAACACGACTGCAGTGAGCTGTATTCCTCAATGGCGTAGCTATCGAGTGTGCAGGTGGTGCAACTGTATAGGTGCCAGACGACGAAGAGGGGGAATTAGAGGCCCATTTCATTCCACGCACCAGGGCCCATGCCAAACACGCCGCTACTTCGCTGATATTCCGCTGTGTTGAGAAAGAGCACAACCTAACTGCTGCTGCAATTTATGGTGCGATGTGTGGTGAAAATAACATTTCACACTCCCGATGTCACCTTTTGAGAGGTTTGAGCGGCTGTAATTTGCCAGTTCAGATGTATTGCCATGTCACCATTCTGGAAACCTTTCTCAATCAAGGCTAGCACGTCGGGTTTAAACAACCAAAACAACGCAAGGTAAAACAATCTGTGCACACTACTATACTCTTGATGCCAAGCCCTGCCGTTTGTGTGGCTCACATTGCGGTGTGCAGAGTAATCTCTGATGTTACACGCACGTTGTTTGGAGTGTTACATCGTGGCCTACACCACCGCATTTTGGGGGAAATAAGTAAAAGAATAACCATTTACGTGGTCAGACAACGTGGTCAGACGTCCGGTCCATGTTTTGAAGACAGCATGGATTTTAATTTCGCGCGATCGTGCCCAAGCCAGGCTTGGACGCTCGCGCGGTGCCTCCCCCGTGTGCACATAGATCCCGCTTGAAAGGGCCCTACGTCATCCCAAAGCCACGCACTCTTCTTTTTCACATCTCCCCCAGAGGGCCCACATGTGCCAAGTTGTTTTTTGTTGTTGCAGTTTGAGGCTGTATTTTTAGGGCCACAGCGTGCGCGCCGCGTGCGACGGAGGCCGTTTGCCCTGTGCTGCTTGCGTGTTTGCCGTGCTCGTGGTAAGCGCTTCCGATGGACTCAACGGCGCTGCACGGTCGTGGCGTGTGCGTCAACGCGCACCGCACGCCCAGTGCCGACGCTGGCTTCCTCTGCAGTTGTGCCTGTTTACATTGTACATTCTGGGTTAATACAAGGGTGTGGCTCTTTTTGGCGCTCATAAATGACTTGTTTGGGATATGGCTTGTAAGGGAGGTGACCCGATGTTCGTGCCTTGTGAGGTCATTCATCTCACTGGTTTCTCGCCTGACTATAAATACATCGGTTGATTTACTCACTAAAATATCTGCACTTCCGGAACTTTAGGCCGTATTACGAAATCACGTTTTTTTTCCGTAATTTTACTTTCCGTCGAGACTCGGTGGGCACACAATGGCCCACCACCATAGGTGTGGGCACCGCAGTTGGCGTGGGTGTGCCGAACCGGGGCGAGCGGACCGTGTTCCCGTGGGGTTGTGCCGCGAGCGGCGTGCCGGCCCCGCAGCTCCCGCCCCGGTGCAGGGTGGCACGCGGCCCACCGCTCCACACCGCTCTCAGGTTGCACAGCATGTGACCATTTTTTTTGTTTAAGCGGTAAAAGGAACGCGAAAAAAATCGTGACAAAAGAAATAACACAAGAAGAACCTTTCGGCAGGGAAATAAATGTTTTCTTTAGGTGGGATGTGTGGCGCGGTGTTGGTGGAACACGAAAAAGCGGCATTAAAAACTGTTTGGGGCCCGAACATGTGCAAAGCGTTAAGGGCCCTGTAAACAAGCGGCTTTCTGTGTGAACACGTGCGCGGCCACGTCCAGCACTCGCGCCCTCACCTCTCGCTCCCGCGCTGCACAACATTCCGCGCATTTCACGATCGAGCGATCCCGGGGCGCTCACGCGCTTGAGACGCTTGATCCACAGCGCCGTTAGTACCAAGATTGATTGCGTGTTTGTATTTGCCCTGTCAGCGTTTACTAATAGACTTTAATATTGTATAAATGAAGACGAAGGAGATGTTATTGCCTGTGCTTGTGTATTTATCCGTGGTTATTTATTCTGAAAGCTTTAAAGGCTTTATGTTTGGTAATAAATTACTTTAGCAAAAAAAGATTTCCTAACCTTTGCCGGGGTGCTTTAAATGATGCAAATCTTGAACTTTAGTGGGGAGTTTTGACTGAACGCTACTTCCTCATTTGCCATTGAACCTGTGACGCCAGGCAATGGTTTTTCAACAGTCACAATCTGGCAGTGGCAGTGACGACATCGACTGCGTGGGGCCCACAATGACCATGAACCATAAAGCTGGCAGAGTTGTCAATTTAATTTTCACGTTCATCTCTGCGCCTCCCGTGTCCCTTATTTCACTACGTGGCATGCACAGGATCCTGGTGGGAGCTCCGAAAGCCGACTCGGATCTCCTGACAGAGACGGTGCACCCGGGCGCCATATTTAAGTGCCGGGTGCAGCCAAACGGCGAGCAGAGCTGCACTGAGATGCTGCTGGGTGAGAGGCCGTAACCATGGAGACATCGTTGTGACGACACCTCTGCGTCTGCACTCTGCCTTTACTCTCTTCCGTCAATCGGCACACGGCAGCTGACGAGGCTGAGTGAACTAATTCTGCTCCTCCACTGGCCATGGCGATCGCTTCCTCTAGAGCGATGTTTGTCTCTTAAGTTTTCCTCCATTACCCCATCAGTCTACCTCTCAGGTGGGTTTGCTTCTAATTCTTGCTCCTTCCACATGGCGGTAGGAGGCCACTGATGGCCACTTCCGGTCATCCTCGCAGCAGCGGCCTTTAGCTGGCCATCCGACAAAGATGGTCCACTGCATTGCGCGCTTTCAGATGTGCTTCTGCAGTCGTCTAGAATGCCCTTCTGATATTAGGAAGCCACTGGAGCAATCTACATTGAAAACTAATTTCTTTAGAACAGTTTATGTTAAGTTTGTTGTCCTTCCACGCACCTCGGATTAGCATGGTTGACTATGTATGGCGCAAAAGAAGTTCAACATACCTATATATATGTTCTCAATGCTTTTCACCTTAGTGGCCCCATATAATTTAATTCATCACCAAGTCCAGCAGTGTAAATGTTATTAATGTGGATTTAAACATGGCTATAGGTCACCAATACACTGAGACAACTCTTCAGGAAGGAAATGAACGTTTTCTTTAGCTGGGATGTGGTGGAGCATTTATGGAAAAAAAAACACGTGAAATGGCATGGAAACGCTACATATATTTATGGCTCTTTGATTCCATTGTTCCCATCGTGGTGCGATGATAAGCCACCTCATTTGAGACAATACCACATAAAGGAGATGGTAAAAATGAGACAAGAAATCATGTATTCTTGAATCAAACCATAACCCTGAATAATGACTTTAATAAATTGGCAGTTGGAGGATCGTTACGCCGCTGGTTTTTAATCCTCTAGGTGGTCGGGTCTGTGGAAGCGCACGGATTGGGTGAGTTACCTCACCGTTGTTACCTTTGGGTCACGGCCCCCAGGCTCGCGGCACAACCACCAATGTGGGCGCACGTGCCTGGAGGAGCGCGACAACCAGTGGCTTGGCGTCAGCATGGCCCGGCAGAACAAACCCGATGGCAAGATCCTGGTAAGCGCAGTTTCACGCGGCCTGGACTTACCAACGTAGTACCCACCACACCACCTCATCGCTTTCCTCACCCCCTCGCTGCCTACTCCTTCTCCCCCTCTTCCTCGTCCTCCTCGCCCTTGTCCTCACCCGTACGTTTCCCTGCGTTGCCGCTGTAGGCGTGCGCTCACCGCTGGAAGAACGCGTTCTACGTGAGGGAGTGGAAGCTGCCGCATGGCCTGTGCTACATCATCCCCGCCAGCCTCGCGCCCAGCGAGAGCACACACATCATCCCCTGCTTTAAAGGTACGGCCGAGCCAGCGGAGTACAGCGAGATCTTTAATGAGCTGGGCACGGTGGTGGCAATTTTTTTTTTTTACCTGTGATCCAACGCTTTGGGAGTCGAGTAGAAAGTTGTTAAACGGCCAAAACTGCTGGGCTGTGAGGTGGCCAGGTGATGGTTAAGGTGAAGGTCATGGTTGTTTTATACCACACAAGCCTAGATTCGTTTGAGGTTTTTCCTCCTAAAATAAAAGGCGTTCGAACTTTTTTTTAACCCAGAGTGGAGTAGTGTCCTAGTGGTTAGTGCACTCTGTTGTGAATCGAGCATTCTGAGCTCAATTCCCAGCCATTGTTACCATCAGTGATAAGAGATATCTGAACCAGTTTTGGCTGGGTCGCCTGATTCACCATCTCGCATTGACCAGGGTGGTGGAGTATGGTCAAACAACCCCCATGGCCGACATGGCATGGGGAGGCCTTCCTGCAGGACTGGAGCGGTGATAAGGCTGTAAAAGAATACTATTAGCTTTATTATTAACGCTTTTGTTGGCCATAACGTGGAGACCCAAGCCAGAGGATAAAAGTATTATTGGCCCTGACAGCTAACCCGCCGGCTGCTATCCTACTGATTGAATATTTACAAAGACAAACGCATGTTGGAAGGCGTTACATACTATTCTTCATGTATGGTGCGGGCGAAGAGGGCTGCGGCATTGAAGTTACGGCCAGTGTTCACCGTGTTTCTTTGCCGGGGCTGATGTCAACCGTTGCATCTGTCGCGCAGAGCACCAGAAGAAGTATGGGGAGGAGCACGGCTCCTGCCAGGCGGGGATCGCGGGACTCTTCCTCGAGGTCTGTCTCCCGTGATCCACCGTACTTGCCCGAGACGGCGACATCGATGAACGTTTAAAATGTGTATAATTGTTTATTCAAATTTTATTTTACCAGGTAAAGTCCACTGAGCTATATAGCTCTTTTTCAGAAGCAACCTGGCCACAAATAATAGCTCATCGAAGTGGTTTATCACGTGAAAATTTATCGCAGCCAAATACTCTAAACGCGTGATGTTGATTCTAAATGTCGAGGGGAAAACCAGAGCACCCAGAGAACAATCCACGTGACCACGGGGAGAACATGCAAACTCCAAATATACAGGCGTCAGGGTCGGGATGGAACCCACAACCTCCTGCATACCAGGCGAGGTATTTAGCATCTCGCCACAGTTTAAGATGGCAGTGAGGCTGAATCTGTTCATCGTACTGATGACGAGCTTCATTTCACTTTTAATTTGTACATTGCGCCTCTGACCAAATCACCCGGAATGCGCTAGGTAAGCTTGATCCTGGACAGGGCTTGGCTGGATAACCACCGTCATGCATTTAACAGCTTGCTTGGGGGGCTACCTGATGCGCAGCAGTGCAACAACATCCGTTATCGCACAGAACTCCTGTGCTCACGTTCATAAACTCCCACTGACCAGCGTGGTGAGTGTAGCGTGTTCATAATAACTCCTGTGTAAGCATGGGGAGGCCTCCATCCAGCAGCGGATTGACAAGAGGGTCATACGCAGTGATGTTGGGAGGGTGTTGGATCAGTGGCATTTGTAATGGCGAGGGTGGGGGCGGTGCCTCTGTGTCCCAGGATGCGGTCGTGCTGGGTGCTCCCGGCTCTTTCTACTGGACAGGCACGGTGATCCTGCACAACCTGACCACACGCGCCAACTCCTTCTACTCGGAGAGCGAGCGCCGCGCTGTCGGATACAGCAGCTACCTCGGTGAGCCATGGCACAGCTATGTCCAGCGTGCAGGCAGTGCAACTGCACCAATGCCCATGGGCCGTGGGGGCCCAAGTGCCGGGTTAAGAAGAGGGGCGTAGGAGGAGGCGAGTGCTGGCGGTTGGCATCGAGGCCTTGGCGGTGCCAGCTTTAGGCCTAGGCAATGTGGGCATTTGCCTACGGCGGTGGCAAGTTGTTGTGTTGGGCCTTGAGAGGGGCGGTTTTGTGTGATTGGTGGATGTGGGTGCTCGAGATCTGCTCACGGACATCGACACACCGTCGATGGTGATAGAATGGGGAAGGAGTGGGGGGTCCCATTTAATTCCCCATACCATGTCTCATGTCGACCAAGCACCGCTGCTGATGATCCGGCCCAGTGGGCCATGGGTGCCCACTCTCTTCCCTTCTCGCATCATCGATTCAAACAGCAGCAGCAGAATAGTAATTTTGTATTTTCTTACTGATTTTCTTTGACAAGAGTTTTTCCCTTTTGTAGTGACGTACTCAGAGAAACTAGGAGTAGGAGGCACTCTATTTATTAACAGCCTTCACAGGTTACAAGGGATAACTACAACTCTTAGTCAGGACAGCTGGCAGACTACCTGACTGATGATGCCGAGAAGGTGAAGACACAGACGAAGACTCCAGAAGCCCGACGAGGGGATCCCACTCCAAGCAACAGCCCTGAACCTTCGCTCAGGGTCCCCTTTTATCCTCCTTGCGTGGGCTCAATCCTCCCCGGCCACGCCCCCCTTCTAGAATCTACTCACAGGTTTCCGGGCTTACCTCATGTGCCTCCTCTATCACCTTTCCCCTACATCCCTCTCTCTGACTTATCACGTGACCTGCTGACAGACAGGGCTGCTGCAACTACAGATCCCCTTCTCTGCCAGCAACCCGCGCTATGCTACGTAGTGATCCGTTCCATGTCACTACACTTGTATGGAAAATGAATTTGCGTTCCGATGCGTGGTACCACGCAGCTGTTCGGCTTCATCGTCACGCGCGCGGGCGCCTCGCAATGTGCTGCCAGCATCCTGGGATTGAGAGCGGAAAACTAAGGCCCCCCCACATTTGCAAAAAACTGCAAATGTGTTCACTTGTCAGTTTGTCAGCTTGTTTAGCCGTTAATTTGTTTACGCTTTGTGTTTGCAGAGGAAATGGAAAATTGTCCAGTTCCTTGGGCAGACCAAGAGGTTCTGTGTCTTGTTATGGAGTGTGGTGGTCGTGTTCTTTTAAAGTTTAAGAGCCAAGAATGTTTTCTGCTCAAGGTGCACTTTCTCATTTGTTCATAGGACACAGCACCGTAAGTGGCCAGCTGGCTTAGAGATCAGAGCGCTGAGCTAACACAGCTGAAATTCCTGGTTTAAATCCGGTCATCCACCTGTGATAGCGAGTTGATAGTTTCAGCCTGGTCACCAATGACTGCGCAATAAATTAATTCATATTAATTTGGGTTTTTACTTAACCTGAAACAATTCCACCTCCGTAAATGAAAACTATGGGTTTGACTACCGTGTGACTCTTACTGTCTGTAGCAAAGTGAGCGGTAAAGTGCTGGCTCCAAGTCCAGTCAAGAGGTCACTTGCAGGGATCTAAAATTCGTTCTCTAATGCCTCCTACCACAGACCATGCTCTCACACGTCGTGTTGCCCTGCCCTGCGAGGGTTCCTCATAGATTGTTCATTCTCGTGACACTACACCGGTAGCACAATCAGGATAACACTGGGGGGAGGGGCATGGGTAAATAAAAAAATGTTTGTTAAGACACAGCACTGTGTTTCATTTGAATATATGTATTCTCTTTGGCACCTTGCGGAGCCGTGCTGTAGATGCCTCCGCAGGATATTACGCGTCGGCACTGGGATGAAGCCCTCTAACGAGGGCCCCATCTGAGAATTAGGATCGCCGCCGCCACCGCTGTCGCTTGATTGAAACATCGGGGCTTGGCAGAGCGCGCCTCGCTGCACACAACAGGTTGCAGATGTTGCCGCGTGTTTGCTGCTACTTTAGGCGCAAGTAGCTGTGTGCTGAGCTTGTTCCCAGACACAGGTGGCTGGGCACTGAGCTTGTTCCCAGACACAGGTGGCTGGGTGCTGAGCTTGTTCCCAGGTGCAGGTGGCTGGGCACTGAGCTTGTTCCCAGGTGCAGGTGGTTGGGCACTGAGCTTGTTCCCAGGTGCAGGTGGCTGGGCACTGAGCTTGTTCCCAGGTGCAGGTGGCTGGGCACTGAGCTTGTTCCCAGGTGCAGGTGGCTGGGCACTGAGCTTGTTCCCAGACACAGGTGGCTGGGTGCTGAGCTTGTTCCCAGGTGCAGGTGGCTGGGCACTGAGCTTGTTCCCAGGTGCAGGTGGTTGGGCACTGAGCTTGTTCCCAGGTGCAGGTGGCTGGGCACTGAGCTTGTTCCCAGGTGCAGGTGGCTGGGCACTGAGCTTGTTCCCAGGTGCAGGTGGCTGGGCACTGAGCTTGTTCCCAGACACAGGTGGCTGGGTGCTGAGCTTGTTCCCAGGTGCAGGTGGCTGGGCACTGAGCTTGTTCCCAGGTGCAGGTGGCTGGGCACTGAGCTTGTTCCCAGGTGCAGGTGGCTGGGCACTGAGCTTGTTCCCAGACACAGGTGGCTGGGTGCTGAGCTTGTTCCCAGGTGCAGGTGGCTGGGCACTGAGCTTGTTCCCAGGTGCAGGTGGCTGGGCACTGAGCTTGTTCCCAGACGCAGGTGGCTGGGCACTGAGCTTGTTCTCAGGTGCAGGTGGCTGGGCACTGAGCTTGTTCCCAGACACAGGTGGCTGGGTGCTGAGCTTGTTCCCAGGTGCAGGTGGCTGGGCACTGAGCTTGTTCCCAGACGCAGGTGGCTGGGCACTGAGCTTGTTCCCAGGTGCAGGTGGCTGGGCACTGAGCTTGTTCCCAGGTGCAGGTGGCTGGGCACTGAGCTTGTTCCCAGGTGCAGGTGGCTGGGCACTGAGCTTGTTCCCAGACGCAGGTGGCTGGGCACTGAGCTTGTTCCCAGGTGCAGGTGGCTGGGCACTGAGCTTGTTCCCAGGTGCAGGTGGCTGGGCACTGAGCTTGTTCCCAGGTGCAGGTGGCTGGGTGCTGAGCTTGTTCCCAAGCACAGGTGGCTGGGCTCTGGAGAGCCATGAACTCAAACGAATAAATGCTCATGAACTTCGTCGTCGTGACCTGGCACAGCAGCACGTGCGCTCGGCCTGTGAAACGCTGCCCGGGAAGTGGACAATGATCCTCCCCCTTCCCACCTCCAGCGGCCACGATGAACTGGCACGATTACTAGTCATGATTCAATCCATGGCTACTTTACAACAAGCGTAGGTTGACGCGGTTGTGACGCACAGCTCTCTCACGTGTCATTCGAGGGCTGTACTGCATGTTGTTTGGCGCGATGTCTGACATTTTGCTCCACGTGCTGTTCCTGGAGAAGCTCCCAGCTTGTGGAACGAAACGTCAGACATCGTGCCGAACAGCACGGTACGACTCAACAAAACATCGCAGAGCTGTTGGTTATATTTCTTGTCTTGTGTTAACTGTCACGTTTGTATTGTTTCTTGGTGTTTCTGACTTATACAGTTTAACTTAAACTGTTTATACAGTTTAAGTTTGCTTCGTTATCCTTAATGTAGCTGCACATCCTTTTGTAGATCATTTGAAAAAAAATCATACGTATATGATTCTCACACACATAATTCCGAGTACGTATCTTGAACATAATGTATTACGCAGGGCACAAATCAGGGTGTCATGTCTGGTGGGGGAGTTTCTAGGCAAATCAAGACCCTGCACACTCCATGCACCTGCTAATTCGTAATCACGGAAAGCTCTGCCGTGGGTGACTGACTATGCAGAATTTGGATATTCACTATAGATTTGGGATGATTGCAAATCCTGAGCAGGTGAGTACTGCCATGTTTGTGTTCGATTAACCCAGAGTCAAAGACAAATCGAAGGCTGTAGCCAGGGCTCCCGTTTCTAACAACTCTGGTGGAATCGTTGCAGGGTACAGCATCACAGCGGGGCACTTCACACACCCGCAGAGCACGGAGGTCGTGGGCGGAGCGCCACAAAGAGCCAACGTTGGAGAGGTGAGGGTTACGCGAGACGCCTCAATCATGCGCATGCACGCGCACGCACTCATGTGCGTAGGAACTCCACAGGCTTGCACATGCAGAGCTCCGTTTCAGCCGAACCCGTCAGTGGCAAATATTTAAACTGGTCCAGGGCCTTCCCTCGGTCAACTCAGCCTCCTGTGGTGTGTGCACAACAGTACTGGGGAGACTCAGGCAGCCTGGCATGGTGCTGTCCGTACCAGCCTATTGCGTGCCATTCCATTATTAACATGTTCCCACAAACAGCACTTGCCCCTATACTTCATAAGGCCAAATGCGGGATCTTTATCTTTTCATGTGGGTATTGATAAAGCGATATTGGAAGCACCAGGCACCACCTTTGTACAGAAGACAAAACTGATAGCAATGCAGTCTAATTTTGAAACTCAAATGTTTACGTACCATTCTCGTACTGAAATAAGTGCACTCGAGTTTGTGGTTATTTTATATCTTAATGTCACACATTCCTGTATGTCTGTCTGCTCAAGGTCTACCTCTTCAGGATTCAGCGAGGAGGTCTCCACATCATACGACATTTCTCAGGGAAGAAGGTGGGCTCACGGATAGTGTTTGTAAAACTTTAAAAAGTCTTCAACTTCTGTTCATATTCGTGACCTGACGCTACTACACATTTGTTCTGCGGCCATAACATGGCTACACGATGAAAGCAGATGAAGGTAAAGATACAGCCCTGCAATGCCTTGCCCTGCCATTGCTGGTGGAAGAGGTCTTCTCTAGAGGAAGCTCTAGAGAAGGTATTTGGTCTACTCTACCAGACTGGCCATGCGTCTTGGAAGAGTCTTAGTGCCCACACCTTACCCCACCACACAAGATCTACTGATCGACTAACTGTGGTTGTACCCATTTACCCTGCTGGGTACACAGAGGTCGGGAGTGAGATTTAATTAACTTGCCCCATTGCTTCAACTGGCACGCCAGGAGCTAGAATCGAACCGGCAACATCTGGATTGCAAGTCCAGTGCACTGACCGTCACACCACAGCAGCTTCCCTGCTACAAGATGATTGTTTTGTCATCATCACAAGGCAGCAGCAATAGTATCCAACGCATGACTTTGTAAACATCGAACTTAGGGACAAGTCAGTGCACGTGTTTTGGTCTAAAAGTGATTTTGATAAAACCGCGCTGGTGCCTTGCATACACAGCCGCTCCATTGTGAGGGCTCCCGTGCCTGTGGGGAGGAAGGATATGCGAGTAAAAAGAAAAAAGCCTTTGTTGCACATGGGACATAGGGGGGAATTGTTCTCTACATGCTAATGAAGATTAGCAAAAAATAACACTTTAATTCCCGTTGAAATAGTTCTATTAACATGTATTTTCTGGAGCTGTGTTGGCAGGGATGTAGAAACATCGGCTTAATGCACTTCACCACCCCGGTTATTAACAACACTGCTTTGTAATGAAACGCACGGCGATGTGCTGTATTCAGCGAACATTTCACTCAGAGGACCTTCTCTAGATGAGAGCCCAGGATGTAAACTTGTTATGTGATTTAAACATTTTCTGTTGGGAAACATAACCTTTGGAGAAATATCGCTCCAATCGAAATAAAAGTTTTGAGAGACGTTCAAGAGTGCAGCCCAATCAAACCGTCGGCAATGAAACGTTCGGCAAGAATTATCATTGCAGTTAAGATCCATTTAGTTTTTTACAATCGAGATTACACATTCAGCCCATTGTGCCACTCTGGTCAATTAGAAGCCAGGAGATTAAAACGTGACCTGTGTGTGCTATACCTGTTATTCTACAGTCACATAGTAATTACTTTTTAGGGCCAGTGGGTGATGTGGGCCCAGCGGTAGGGCATTCACCGCTCGTTATTGCAGAGGTTCCTGGTTTGAATCCGACAGGCCACCCTGGTTAATGCCGAGGGTGTATTAGCCATAAATGCTCACCATCTACTTCACAGTGGATGTTAAAGATCTCGTGATATAAATCTCGGAATTGTAGGCCATCGTGTGCAGAATCATGGTTCAAGTTTGCCAATTTGACACACCGCAAATGACCAAATTGGGAACAGCACACAGCAAATGACGCCACCCCCTCCCGACTAGAGAATCCCGGCAGGATCCCCCCAAAAGAGTCTCGAGACTCGGCGAGGCGCTCCGTGGTGATCGAGGGGGGCGATAACAAAATGTGCGATTTAGCCCCGGGCATTTGTGCATCATCTCGTTTGCTCAGATGGGCTCGTACTTTGGCTCGGCACTGTGCGCCGTCGACCTCAACAGCGACGGCCTCTCGGATCTGCTGGTGGGGGCGCCCACGCACAGCGCCTCACGCGACGAGGGCCGCGTGCACGTCTATGTCAACCACGGCAATGTAAGGGTGCCGCGGCGGCAAGATGTTGACTACCTCGCCTGGTGCGCGGGAAGTCGTGGGTTCGACGATCCCGACCCTGACGACGCCTGTTGTATATTTGGAGTTGGCGTGTTTCTCTCCCCGCGATCGCGTGGATTTTTCTCCGGGTCCTCCGGTTTTTCCCTCCACATTTAGAATCGATATCACGCATTTGGAGTATTCGACTGCTATAAATATCCACGTGACAAGCCACTTCGTTGAGCTATCATTTGTGATAGCCAGGTCGCTTATGAAAAAGAGCAAATAGCTCAGTGGGCCTTACCTGGTAAAATTAAAATAAATTTAAAAAATAGATAAGAGCAGCGGCACCTGCACGAGGCCAGGGTAAACTTGGTGTGGGCGGCGGCAGCAGTAGCAGCACGTTCACGTCAGGTATGATGTCGCTGCTCCGGTCCCTTTGCACGCACATCGCAGAGTGGTCCGTCCAACTTGCTGAGGACTTTGGTAGAATAGGCGGATACCACGCACTGATCAGATTTGTCAACGTCTATGGATAATGAGAGTGAGACCGTGCACAGATGCTGCACTGGATGTGCGTGGTTAATTGGTCAGAGTGAAAATTACACATTTGTGTAATTTGCTGTGATCAAAACTTAGGTTGGATTTGGTGGTCGGGTAAATAGTTTACTTTCCTACCTGTGTGAAGCTCTCGTAACAATTATTATGAATAGTCTTGTTTTATTTTGATCATGAATTGCTGTCCAATCCGAGTGATCCAGCTGAATTAAATTATCGTCCAGTTGTAAATATAAGCCCATTAATTGCACAGTGCCATAGGCTGGTACCATACATGTTTTTTTTAATTTAAATTCAGCCGCCGTGACACATTTGTGTAATGATGCCATGCTCCGGGATTTCAGTTTAAAACGAAAAAAAATATTGTTCACTAAGCTGACGGTGAAAAAAAAAGTTATTTATTTGGAGGTCGGCTGCGTGCCGACCTCCGAGCCACACAGAGCGCAGATTATTTATAAACAGCCTCACTATTCATAATAAGAGCCTCACTATTCATAATAACAGCCTCACTATTCATAATAACAGCCTCACTATTCATAATAACAGCCTCACTATTCATAATAACAGCCTCACTATTCATAATAACAGCCTCACTATTCATAATAACAGCCTCACTATTCATAATAACAGCCTCACTATGCCGGCAGTGCCCCGGCACAGGTGATGGTCGCCTTCCACTGCTGCCCACGCCGCCCATCCAGGCACCTCCCTCCCCTTGTCCCAAAACTTTCTTGAGGGTGTAATCGTGGGAGGCTGCTCGCTCACTCACTCGTTCATCAAATTAGCTTCGCGAAGAGCGGGGCAGACTATCACAAATAACCAGCGCAGTGTCTGCCTGCCGCACTGCCCGGCGCGACCTTTGTGCCCCCCCCTTTTCCCGGCGTGTCTTAACACGTGCCCTTTGACCCCAGGGTGACCTGGTGGAGCAGGAGCCGCTGGTCGGGTTGAACGCTTACAACGCGCACTTCGGAGCCGTCATCGCCGCGCTGGGCGACATCGACGACGACGGATTCCCAGGCACGTTCCACTCGCCTGGGCGCCAGGGACGTGCGGTCAGGGGAGGCAGGAGAGGCACAGCCTCACCTGCCATACCCCAATGAAAATAGCTGTTATGTAAAGTAATATATTTTTTTATTTTTCCACTGATCTGTGTTATGTTCTTTTTGTACGATTCCAATCATTTTTGTCGTCAAAATCGCCAAATTTGCGGAGCTCCGCTGCAAATAGAGGGAGAGACGAGAGGTGAGGCAGCGACGAGCTCAGCCTCCCCGATGATTGCGCAACCCCTCAGAAACTGGATGGAGCGCGGGCAATAAGCGCGTGCCTCTTATTATCTCTCTGTAATGATTGGAATCATACAGAAATGGCATTTATGACACAGATCAGTGCAAAAATCTTATTGTTTATTCTATTTTATATATTTTTTTACTTTTCGTAACAGCTATTTTCATTGGAGTATGACAGGTGAGGCTCCGCCTCCCCTGACCACATGTCTCTGCTGGGTGGCAACTTTTCGAGTTTCCATCTGGGGTTACGGCTTTTCCTGGTTTTCTTAGGATCGTCCCCTTGTTCAATGAGGGTTGAGTGAGATTGCTACTGTGCTGGGAAATCTGAAAGTCCTCCGAGGACATGAAGTCCCTTTTTTGTCAGTTGTGTGATAATGCACCACTCACGACAATGCACGTGGATGTTGTTCTTGCGTCTTTCGCGATAGCGAGAATTATTCTTCCCGTAATATGTGCCGATTATTTGTGCCTCAGCGGTGGCAACCCCCAATCTCATCGCCGTCTTGGTTTCACACGCACGCTGCCGCAATAGGCCACGCCCTTTCCTACTATCGTTTTGATTTTAATAAATGATTAAAGCTGGTAGTTATTTATACACAAGGTAATGATTTTTGGAAAATGGGCTCCTGTAAAACATAAATGTGTTCTTCCGTTTTCAGTCAAAAGAAATGCTCACGCATAAAAACACACTGGTTTTTTAGCGTTACATTCGTTGTTAAAAATGAGAACGGATTTGTTTGGTAGAAAATTAGTTTAAAGTGCTTAGCCGAATTGGGGGATAAACGCTTCAGAATCTCCCGTAATGCAATTACAAACCGAGGAATCTGAAATAAATAAAACTATAAAAGAATGTTTAACCACACAGCTCTTGATTTTATTGAGCGATTTATGAGCAGCTGTCCGAGCGGCCGTGACCGTCCCTCTCCTGCGCTTGCTCTCCGTCTCTCGGCAGACGTTGCAGTGGGGGCACCGCAGGAGGAGGAGTTTGGGGCGGTGTACATCTACCATGGCAGCCAGAACGGCATCACTCACAAACATTCACAGGTGTGTGTACTCCCACACCACTCACACACAGGTGTGTGTACTCCCACACCACTCACACTCACTCACAGATGTGTGTACTCCCACACCACTCACACTCACTCACAGGTGAGTGTACTCCCACACCACTCACACTCACTCACAGGTGAGTGTACTCCCACACCACTCACACTCACACACAGGTGTGTGTACTCCCACACCACTCACACTCACTCGCAGATGTGTGTACTCCCACACCACTCACACTCACAGGTGTGTGTACTCCCACACCACTCACACTCACTCGCAGATGTGTGTACTCCCACACCACTCACACTCACTCGCAGATGTGTGTACTCCCACACCACTCACACACACTCACAGGTGAGTGTACTCCCACACCACTTACACTCACTCACAGGTGAGTGTACTCCCACACCACTCACACTCACTCACAGGTGTGTGTACTCCCACACCACTCACACTCACTCACAGGTGTGTGTACTCCCACACCACTTATACACATTCACAGGTGTGTGTACTCCCACACCACTCACACTCACAGGTGTGTGTACTCCCACACCACTCACACACTCACAGGTGTCATGGTGGTTGTTTGAACATACTTCACCACGCTGGTCAGTGTGGATTGGTGAAGGGGGGTCCAAGGACCGGTTAGATATCCCTGATGTTAGGTGAGACCGGTGAACCGAACCCAGGTCGCGAGATTCGTGGTGCAGCTTGCAAACCACTGTGCCATCGCTGTGCCCTGCAGTCGTATACCTCTGTTCGGCTTATTGTGAACAGGGGGTAGACGATATTGCTTTTTGTCGACCGCGTGAAAACCTCAGTACGAGGGATCGGCGCATGTCAAGAAGTTAAAGCGGTGAGCGAAATACGTAGTGCAGACCACGTGAATGATGATGCCAGCGTCTGCCAAATTTCCCTCTGGCGGGCCCTTTCCACTCGCCCATTGCGTATGATGAAGAACTCGCCAAGTGTCACCGTGAGCTCTGGTCTGGACAGAGATCGTGGCCTCTGTTAAAATCTTCAGTTTTGTTTGCCGACTGCGCAACTGTATTTCAAGTCAGCCCGGTGTTGGATGCGTGAATTCGACCGTTCCCCGGAAGTCTGTTTTCCCTTTCATAGGCGATGACTAACTATGGAAGAAGGCGATCCCCCAAGATGTGTGAGCTCCGTGCCAAAGTAAACTGCCTTTTCACCAGGTTTTGCAGCGAGCGTCTGCTGCTACTGTCTGCTCGTTACCTAGGATGAACCTGGAGCGATTGGTGCCAAGTCCGCTATTAGCGTTCATTTTCACTCTGCTCTAACCCGCGCCCACGTCACCCTGAATGCGCCCAAACTCATCAGATCGCAAAAGCTCAGCAGGTTGGAGCATGGCTGACACCGGAGGAGGGAGTTGGTCTGCGAATGCCAAGTTTTATAGCCTTGGGCTGTGAGCTAGCCAGGAGGTGGCAGTACAGAAGTTAATTCAAAATGTCTCTTTACGGAGCTATGAGTGTTTGACTATATGTATGGATTTTCTTGGGGTGCTCACAGATTTCTTCCAAATGAAGCCAGATGCTCATTCATGGGATTTTTCAAACATACTAATGACAGGGCCCTTCTGAAAAAGTCTTGCTACCGTGAGGTTATTCTAGGTAAATAATAAAAATAACAATAATTATTATCACCATCCATTGCGCTTGCTCTGCGATCGCATAGAAACTGCGAGACGTTGGTAAACAAAAACTATCCACATCGTTACCCACAAGTTCTGTGGTCATTGTTGCCCGATGGCCCAGCCTCCCATACGCCGCAGCCTCTCCACATGTGACACCTGATTAATTCCAGACGGTGGCCTCGCGCCAAGCAGGGGGTCGTTTCTCATCCCCACTCGCCTATGTTTTCTCGTGTCTCGAAACAAAAGAATATTAGCTGTATAAATACAATAAGCATTGCTCGGGAATCTGGTCCTGTGCTGAATCCAACCTTAAATCACAGAATTGTCTCCTGCCCTCTCGGACCACATGCAGTGCGCCGCTAAGTTATTTTGCAGTGACAGGTTCCCCTCGCTCCACACACAACAAAGATTCCCCATATTGCCTTGAACAGACTGCTAGGGTGAGTGGTGTTAGTGAGCAGCAACTATGAAGGCCAACATGGTACACCAAGGAGGTGGGTGGCCAGGACCATGCCTAAACGCCTTTGCCTGCCCAGTGGTGATGTTTTTACGCATCGGATTTGATCATCATTTGAGGCTGAGTCGACCTAGGGGAGGCCCAGGACCAGTTAAGAGAATTGTCACTGGTGTTGGCCATCAGCGGGAATCGAACTCAGGTTGACAGGTTCGTAGGGCAGTACACGACTGCTCGTAGCACTCACTCACACTCATAAGAAGAAAGGAATCCCCCTGTGTATATTTATAGATTTCCTGAAACAAGTGCTGTTAGCAAGCACCCATTCAGCCTGGCACTTCACACACGGGGGGGTGGTGCAGTCAGGACCATGCCTATCTGACATTGTTTCCCCTGGTGCTGCACCAGTTACTTACTCATTTAGGGTGGATTTGACCATAGTGAGGACCAGGACAGATTAAGACGTCACCGATATAATTTATGGCCAGCAATTGAATGCACATTTTCCAGGATGGTAGTGCAGTGCTTAGAATCGCTGTGCAAATGCACTTCGCGCGCATATATATCAGGCGCCTTCAAAGGTGCTCACTAACAGCATTCACAATAACAGTCTGTTAAATATGGGGAAACCTGTCACTGCAGAATAACTTAGCGGCTCGCTGCATGTGGTCCAACCGTACGGAGCATGGTTTAACACGTAGCACAGTTGACTACGTACGGTACAAAAGTAGTTCTGCATACATACATAAGATATACACACATTTGCGTAAACACGTGTCAGCATTCACACGTGCGTGTGAACTGTCGCTCGTAGTCGTCACAGTGGAGGGAGAAGCGTGGTTGTGGGGATCGCTGAGACGAACTCCCCATGACGGCCGTTCGCTTGCGCTCACTGCCTGGCACGGAACTCCCCTTCGGGAAGCGACGCACTTCCTCTCGTGTCACGCAATAGCGTTGCGTGTGCGCTTGATGATGTCACCTTCCGCTACTTGAAAACAACTACAGTATCATCACGCAGCACAGTGTGTGTGTGCAACCAGGGGCTCCAGCTCTGGACATCTGTGAAAAAAGAACTTCATAGCTCATCGGATTCCTCCAGGATAAATGTAGATTATTATTTTGAGGGATTTCCACGGTGCCTGGAAGAGGACGGAAAACGCCAGCACAGTGTGGTGACAACATTATATTTGGTCACGATGGCATCTCGATGATTTGTTATTAACCTGTTGTTTGACATACACATTTATTGAAAGAGCAACTATATCCACGTCAATTTCTCAACTACCTTGTCTATTAAAATAAGTTGTATTTTGTTTTACCAAACAATATCTTCTCACCCCTCTTCATTTTATTAGCATTTCTCGAGCGGTCGATTCTGAATGCATCTATTTTTATTAATGCTACTGAATTTAGACATACAAAAATAATACACTTGATAAATCCGGTCTCACGTTTATTAAATATTAAATCATGAATATTTGGGTAGTTGGATGAGGTTTGTTGTAGAGCCATGTGTTGGAAACGCACAGGCCAGGCGGTGTCAAAGCTGCCTGTGGAACGTCATGATTAATATTGTTTAAAGGCCCTTTTTAAAATTCGTAAATTTCTCATGTTACGATTATATAAGTCTGCTCAGCAAATTCCACTTCAGCACACAGTGTCCCGTTAAACACACTGTGAGGCCAACGTGCATTACTGAAAAGAATTTGTTCAAGAAAAAAATCCACAGATGCTCCACGAGTCTCCCGCATTGGCAGTGTCCACCGCTTTGAATGGAAAAGATGCTCAAGTTAATTTCAGCACCGTAATTTTCTTGATGGCTCAATTGGTTTGCCTTTTTATTTTTACACGGCAGCATTCCGCTTGCCCTCCTCCGCATGACGTCCACTTGAGAATGGATGGAGGCCACGGGGGATCCAACGCAGTCCCCCCCCAACCCCCGCCCCACTGCGTAGAACGGCCTGAGGTCCGGGGTAAAACGTTCTGGATCGCGTGTCCGGCATCACGGAATGTGCCACGGTTTTTGGAGGGAGGCGGAATCCGCGATTGGAATTCCCACAGCCGGCGGATTTTTGCCGTCTGTCCGCACGTGGGTCCCAGATGCTCCTGTGCCACGAGACCGAAACACCACGAGCCAGCATCGGGAGAACGGGGGCCGGGGGGACGGAAGATTATTCCACTCTGGTATTAAAAAAAAACAGTCCATGTTACTCCTTAAAGATTCTAACGGCTGAAAATAAAAGTTCGGTGGATTTAAATTAGTGTGTCAGAGTGAGATCAGTCGAATGTCATGCTCATTTATTGCAGCTGATAAAGATAATCTGTTACATTTATACATTGTTCAATGGTGTCAGGGTGATGGGTAGACCACAGTCCGCTAGTTTGTCACTGCCGGTGGGTTTGTGTAAGGCAGCGTGCTGGAGGCCGGCAAGGGTCCTGCTGCGTCATGGCCACCATTACTCATCAGTCGTGACGTTGATGCTTCGAGTTGAACTCTGTTTTGTGTGAAGAAGAGAGCCTTGCTGGTGCAGCCCCAGCTGTCTTAATGTACATGACCGTGCAGTTGTGTCCTCCTTCATCTACCCCGTGGCTTTATGCTCTTGTCCATGAAATTCTCAGCAATGCCCTCTCTAAGTGCACACCCATCATTACTTCAAAGAGCACCACAGCCGACCGGATCGCGGTATATGATGTAGCCTTTTGTTCACACGACACAGCACAATGCGGATGTACATCGTGGCCTCGAAATGTGACCACATTTCCAGACGCCGTACAGAGACAGTGGGTGTCATTATTTTATAGAGAGAGGCTGTCAGTCATCGCCATAGGTAGAGGGGAAGGTCCTGATCCTGGACTCGGGCAGGGACAGGGAGCCGACAGCACGGATGACTGGGGGAAGGAGAGAATTCCAAACGATGGAGGCAGTCCAGGAGAATTATTGACCTTCCACTGAGCGAGCTTTGGCTGTGGGCTTATGGGCACAGCTGTGCTCATCTCTCAATTCAATGTATCGGTTGTTGGCTGTGGATAATCCTTACTAATTGGCCGTGTGCTAAACAACAATGGGAAACATTCACTTCCAGTACTCCCTGAACACAACGACACCATTTCTTGTCGGTATTATTTATACATGCCAATATTGATCAAATTGTAACCATATCCTTAGTTCTTTCGGTAAAGTCACGTTGAAGGGAATCAATAAAATAATAAAATATATATAAAACAATAAAAATTCTCACGACGTTTCGACACGACGTTTCGACACAAACGGTCGTTTGTGTTATGGTCGAAAAGTTGTGAGAATTTTTATTGTTTTATATATATTTTATTATTTTATTGTTTCCCTTCAACGTGACTTTACCGAAAGAACTAAGAATATGAATTACTGCAGTCACGAAAGCTTTAAATCAAAATTGGAACCAATTAAGCTCCTCACCAGTAGCTTGAGACTTTTCGTTGTGAGCTTCATTAGGTCGTGACATCATGAAAAGTCTCAAGCCCCTGGTGAGCTGGAGCTTTATCGGTCAGAATCTGATCAACACATCGGCACGTATAAATAATATTGTAAACGTGACAATCTTGTCGGTTTAACGTCAATAATATTGGCATAAAACCACCACGTGGCCTAACTGAAACTCAGATACGGATTAGGGACTCCCCGGTAGATTGTAACTTCGGCCAATTTGTCTCTTGTGCAAACTCGACACTTGAAGAGGTGCACGCTCTGTCGGGTGGGCGGGGAGTGCGAGTGAGCTGCGCGCTCGCCAGAGCTGTCTCTTTGTGAAGGCGACATGGCACCGCTAATCACGATCGACGCCTGCTCGCGGTGGCGCCGGTGATAAATATGCGGGACTTGGACATGACGGGGGCCACACGTGTCAATCGAGGTGTTGGCTTTCGGTAGGCGGTGTAGCTGATGTCGTTCTTGCTGTTACAGTTGCTATTTGGTTGCAGCCGCAGGGGAACTCAGTCCCACGGTGAATCCGCGCTTTTTTTGGCAACGGAGTCAGCCGGCCCTATCGCATTACAATTCAAATAGAGACCTCGTTCACAGCCAGATGACGAAGCTAATTGCTCTCCCTGCCTTTATTGTATTAGTTAATGGACACATAGACTTAATAATTGAAATTTCATAATTTGAATTGGCAATAATGTTCCAAATCTATGAGAGAAATCGACCATTATGGCTGTAATGTTCTCATGAAACTAGATAATGGTCTTAGTTGCCATTTCATCTGCACAGCGATTTTACTTAATTTTTAATACATTTTTGATATGTTTTAAAATATTGATGCTGCTGTTTACATTGTTGTTGTTAACTTGCACAAGTTGAGAGAAAGGGACACGGGAACAAGGAATGTCACTGCCATGTACCTCATGTATGCATGGGTATGTGATCAATAAAGCTGGCTTGACTTCGCTTGGAAGCCGTTGCCAACGATTGGCTGCCACCAGGTTTAAGGGGAACTTTGTTTGCCAATGCATTGCAGCTGTGTGTTTCCAGTGACGATTTTAACCTCACTATTTGTTCTCAGATTAGTTTTGTTTAAACCAAAAATGCATTTCCCCATATTACGCAAACAAGTTGTGAAAAAACAAAGACGTAAAAAATATAGTTCAGAAGGTGGAAAATTTTAGAAAAGAATGATGATGTGGATGTTGCCAATGTAAATAATGAAATAACTATCATTGTGAAAAGACCAGTGAAAGTGGGGGACAAGGTAGAATAACAATCGCATCAGAAACGTGGATCAATCACAATGAAGATGAAGCAAAAGATGGAACAGGAAGCAAAGAAGTGTGGAGAGGTGCATGTTTGGAATTGTGGAAAGAGGAACACATGGATCAGGGACAATGCAAATTAGAAACATAATTTACATCAGACAAGTAAGTTGGTTTGTTAGGAGTGATGATGACAGATGGGCGAGACTGGTGATGGAATTACAGCCAAATGTGGGAATGCACTCGAGAGAATGACTGCCATGGAGATGGAGGGGTAAGCTTACATGCAAGAATGAGATGGATTGTGACATTGCAAGACTGTGAGGGATTCCTTTTGGCACGGGGAGGCTGTCATCCAGCAATGGATAGATCACGGCTGACAAAGATGATAAAAAAGTGGTTCCTGAAATGCGTTCCTTGAATGTAACAAAATGTGATGTTGTTTTTTCTTGCACATCATTATGTTATCTGTCTGTTTTCTCTTCGAAGCTCGCACTGCGTTTGTTTTATGGGGAAGTACTTTAGAGTAAACACTGGGGCCAGATGTGCCTGTGCTAAGCGTAGCTTCGTGTGTGCGCATGTGTGTCTAATTCCATGGGGAGTGGTAGTATAGCAGTCAGCGTGCTACGCTACGAAACCCGGCGACCCGAGTTTGATTCCCGCTCAGGGCCAACACTAGTGGCGATTACAGAACGAGTCCACGGCCTCCCCTAGGTCAACTCAGACTAAAATGAGTACCTGCTGCTGCAGCGTGTAAACATCGCCACTAGAGAGACAATGGCGGCCAGGCGTGGTTCTGGCCACCCACCTCGTTTTCCATGCCGGCCTTCATAAGTGCGAGCTAACACCACTTGCCCCAACAATCTGTTCAGGCTATATGGGACATATGTGTCTTTGTGTAACTCTGGGTCTGCATATGTGTGTGTGCAATTATGTGTGTGTGCATAACTGTGTGTGTGTGTCTGTTTCTTTATAGAGGATTTTTGGGAAGAGTATCGAGTCTGGGATTAGCATGTTTGGCCAGTCCATCTCGGGTCAAGTGGACTTGGATGGGAATGGCTACCCAGGTAAGCAGCTCTATCTCTGTCTCTCTCTCTCTCCTCCTCGAACCCACAGATGCGGAGTCGCGTGCAGACCAAGAAACTGAGCGAACCTCGCGTATTGAGACAGACATTCCTAAGACTCAGCCTTGGGCCACGTTAAATAACTACAGAAAATACAAATAAATAGAACTAGAGAGAGTGTATGCGCACGCGGCGCGATGGAACAATAAAACACGATATGACATCACAGCGGCAGGGTTTAGCTGGACAACGCTGAGGGGCATGCGGTGGCGCAAAAACACGACGAACCAGCCCCGGGGCTGAGCAGGTGGCTTACACAAAATCCAGACTCCCTCCGCTCCACCTGGAACAATAGTCGGTTATCTATACGCATTAGTTAGCCCTGCGCACGGTCCTGTGAATCTCCGACGTGTTTGTTTTAGAACCGCCGATTCGGCCCTCTGCCCTCTTGACATGTTCCGCAAAGTCTCCTGGGGGAATATTTTCAAGGTCGCGCAACGGACAATATTGGGGATCGAGTCGTGGGAGCTGTCGGGAGTAAATCGTGGGAGCCTGTGGCCCGAGCAGGGGTCGCTTGACCTGAGCATTAGTAGACGGCACTCCAAGGCAGGCGAGCTAAGGCGTCGCGACGGTGACGTGTGTATTGACAGCGCCAGTAAGTCTGTTGTACCCCAAAACAAAACCAATGGCTTAAGGCAGTTGTCTCTCGGCCTCATTACACCGTGGCTTTAATGCAGCCGCATAGCGTGGGAGACGGGGGGCTATAGGTGTCTGACCTCCAACCCCCTCGCCTCACATTTCATCATTTGTTCCACTTTCCTCTATCTTGTGCCAATATGCTCAAGTAGTGCAACATCTTTCTGGCACCCATCTCTTGTGATGTCGCCGTCAAGCCGTTCTTTCTCAAGTCTTCCTCTCTTTCGGGTTCCTTCCATTTTTCAAACAACACACTTTAAATGTTCCTGTATTCCATCCTACATATGTGTCCAAGTAGTGCCAGTTTCCTTCTCAATACTGCCCACATCATCGGGTCTTCTTCGATTTGCAACCATTTTCTTTCTTTTAGATTGGTCATTCTTATAGTTAAGTCAAAAAATATAGTACAACCTTTCGCAGCAGTGTAAGTTTTTATTTAGCAAGAAGCAGGGGACTGGACAAACTCCAGTTGTACAAAACGTACGTGATCGGCGTCACAGCTGATCCCTCAAAAACACACGAGGCGACAGGCAGAGCAGATCGCATCATTCCTCATTCTGTTAACTTTCGTCTGAGTTGGTTTAATATTGACTCTTGTCATGCGCCCCCTGAATTCTTCTATGCAGCGACTTTTAACGAGGTTACGATCACTCGTCTGGTTCGTAAGCAGGATGCTATTCACTGTGGTCATGACTGCAGGATTCACACAGACAATGTCACCCCGTGTGCCACTGTAAATTATGATAAACATTAGCCATTGGTTAATGGCTAATTATGAAGCATTTAAAGTTGAGCAATTTTGTAAAATATTAACAGTTCACGGAATTACCTATTCATGTTTCTTATTAATGCAAAACTGTCCACGGTAATTCACACTTAAGTGCTTAATGATGGCAGCGGCACTGCTTAAACAGCCTTAATGATGCATAATGACTCCCACGCATGGCACTGTATTCAGCTGCATTCATGAACCTATTAACTTGTCTTCTATCGGCTGGCATAAATAACCGGACTACTCACAAGATGAGATTGGGCTGGGAAAAAAAATACACTCCAGTTTGAATTTGCGCGATAAACAAATCACATTAAATGTTTTCTCATCGGGCCCAGCGCCAGCTCCTCTTGAAGGGGGGCGGGGGTGGGCAGTCGATCTGGTGTGTGGGGGGCCACCATAATAACAGCGATGATAGCGCATAGCAGTGAACTTGGGTGGTGCTACGGGGACATTTGGTGGTGCAGGGACCATGACAGCAGGAAAGTGCCGGCCCTGTTTCTCATAAATTATACTGCATAAGTCAAAGTTTGATTTGTGTGACTAGGTGAGAACCCAAGATACCAGTGGAGTCTTGTTTTGGAGTACATGTAAACCCTTTTGTAAATCCACTGCTGGATGAGGGCCCCTCGTGCTCTGGCATTGTTGGACCATACTTCACCACGCTGGTCAGTGCGGATTGGTGAAGATGACGAGAATATACATTGGAGCATGGAAGTACAGTACAATGGTTTTTCTGCACTGCCCTCTGCTACTCCACGTGTAGCTCCTCAGCCTATAACACCCTTTTATGCATGGCGGCCATACATTCAAGCACTATTCAGACTGCTTGCCTTCTGAAAACAAGAAATCAGGCATATTCCAGGGATTTTTTTTATCAATAAAAAAACTGATATTCCACAATAGTCATTGACTGCAAAAAGAAAACAGGTCCCACTTGAGAGTCACGCATGTACCTTGAACGCCTCTCCCACCGTACATAGTCAACCGTGCTAATCGGAGGTGTGGGAATTAATCGAAGTGACTCACAGTTGAATTTGAGCAGCGGTAGTGTCCTGCAGCGAGAGCCTTGGGATGTTTATCATTCCTGACCGGCCGCTAGGCTCTTAATGCAGTGCCCAAACCGAGAGCTTCGTGTGCGTCCCTGCAGTGCAGTGTCCATATGTGCCCAAACCCCAAAGGGCAGGGGCCACAGTTGAGGGGTCGGAAAGAAAATTGAGTGAGGCATTAGCGCCGAGCGTCTGGCGATTCCTGGGTTTTATTAGACGAGCTAGCGCCCGTTACACTTTTATTGCTGCGCACGTCGTGCCGAGAAAGGACGCAGCCTCGTAAACTGGCTCTGTGCATCACTTGGCCCACTGAGACGCTTGCGGATCACAAAGATGTGGCACCAAAGCAAAAAGACGGTCAAGAGGGTTAATCGGCTGTAGAATACCTTTTAGGAAAATGTGCCGCCAAACTTAAACACTTAGGGCCAGATTCCTATCTTGACAAAGTCACGTACATGTACGGCCCGCTTGTCAATCCACTGCTGGATGAGGGCCTCCCCATGCCTGTGGGTAGTAAGAGATATTTGACCAGACAGTACTTTTCCACTCTTGTCAGTGCAGGTTGGTGAAGTTAGAGGGAGTAAAAAAAACGATGGATTTTTGCTGCGCCACCCTCTGTTGGCCGTAATGCCGATTACACTTGATTGTTTGCACATGGTGGTCACCCATCTTAGCACAGTCCCGGCTAAAGACCCACTTGGCTTCCGAGATTTGATGATACCGGTCACATTTCGGGTGATTTGGTTATACCCTGACAATTGCATTGGCAACACAATAATGTTTTTTACCCAGGAAAGCCTCATTTTCAGGAGGATCCTGCGATTGGTCAATCCCATTAGCATGTGGGAAGAAAGCGGAGACCCTGCAGAAAACCCATGCACACGAGGAGATAACAATTATAGCTCCCCACAGGTAGAAAGTTAAGAATCCACTGATATACCGTTATCCCCGAGCACCTAGCAGCCAGCCCCAAGCCTGCAGCATCAGCCTTACACTGGCGGTCGTCAATGCCAGAATTGACCAGGCTCGAGCCTGCTTGGTTTCTGAGATCTGGCACAATCTGGACCATTTGTGACGATTTGGTTGTAAGAATTCGTCCCATTGTAGATGACAGAATAATTGTTACAGTGTGTAAGAAAAATGGGTGGGAAGGAAGATTCCTGATCAAGTGACAGTTGAACTCTTTACCGTGTGCGCACTGACGCAGACACAAGCAGACAGCAGGTCGGCCACCAGTGTCAGTGAGAGCTTGTTTTTTGGGCGGCTGCAGATCTTAAAATGAGATATTTCTGCAGGTGCTTTTGTAGAGGGAAATAAGTTACTGTGGCTGTTTTTTATTCATGTACCGTCCCATTGTTACCATCACAAGAACGAGCACTGCTCTGTTATTGTGTTGTGTACTCGTTTCACGAATTGGAGAAGTCACAAACGCACTGGCGAACTTGACGGGCTACGTGGTGGGTATCAATTTCAATCAATCCATCTTTATTTTGCGTGACGCTATGGTCCTCAATAAATTAGGCATCGGTGCATATTACAGCAGAACGGCAATGATACAGGGGCATAGAGCAACAAGAATTAAATCTCGACCTCGGCAGCTAACACCGCATCAGAGACCTGTACATAAAATCCAGTGTTGCACTGTACTTCTATGCTCCCACATTTGTTCTTCATGTCTTCCCCAACCCGAACTAACCAGTGTGATGAAGCATGGTCGAATAACCCCCGTGACCCACATGGCATGGGGAGACTCTCATCCAGCAGTGGATTGACACTGGGCAGTGCATACAACATGTATTTGTGTATACCAATGCAGAACTGTGCTGTATAACTAATCGTTGAAAAGTTATTAACGACCTTCCTGGTATGCAGGAGGTCGTGGGTTCGATCCTGACCCTGATGACTTTGGGTCCTTCGGTTTTTCCCTCCAAATTTCGAAACATGCGTTTAAGATTATTTGGCTGCATTAAATGTCCACGCGATGAGCCACTTTGTTGAGCTATCATTTGTGGCTAGGTCGCTTCTGACAAAGAGCTATATAGCTCAGTGGGCTTTACCTGGTAACATGAAAAAAAAATAGTTTTAGTTTAATGATCATGGCATGAGCAGCGTGGCGCTTCATCCCATTGCTCAGCAGCTGCCGCTAAAGATGCTGTCGCCTCTGGTTTCTTGCAGACGTCGTCATTGGGGCCTTCACGTCGGACGTGGCGGTGCTCTTCAGGTGAGATGGCGCCGCGACCCAACGCTGGCTGCTCTACATTACCACGTGATGACAAGCCACTTCATTGAGCTGTCATTTGTGGCCAAGTTGCTTCTTAAAAAGAGCTATATAGCTCAGTGGGCCTTGCCTGCTAAAATAAAGAATAGTTTAGTTTTATGTGTATTTTTTTTGTGATTTGCTTACCTTTCCTATACTTTGCACTCCTATCGTGTTTTTGTATGTTTGTTGTTGTAACGTACTGAGCCGCTCCTACTGGACATCTGTGAAAGAGCTTTATAGCTAATCTGATTCCTCCGGTATAAATCAATATTCCGATTCTGAAATGTGAAGTGCGTGACGCCGTCTCGGAGAGCACTGAGTGGCGAGCGATCGAGCGCCGACGCACGTGGTGTCCCGCAGGACGCGACCGGTGATCACGGTGGAGGCGTCGGTGGTGCTGCCGCGTTCCGTGAACATCACGGCGCCGCTGTGTGTGGACGGTGGACAGCCGACGCTCTGCCTCAACGTGAGCGTGTGCCTGCGCTTCCGCGGGCGTGCGGTCCCGGGCAAGATCGGTGAGGGCCTACTGCTCGCACGCGTGCACACGTGCGCGCGTGCGCACGTCTGTATGGGCGTGTTCATGCGTGTCTAGAGAGTGGTAGTATAGCAGTCCCGCTCACGGCCAACACCAGTGATGATTGTCTGAACCGGTCCTGGGCCTCCCCTAGGTCGACTCAGCTTCAAATGAGTACCTGGTACGATGTGTAAACATCAGCTCACGGGAGACAAAGTTGTATTGGCATAATGTTTGTCACACCAACCCCGAATACGCCATGCCGGCTTTCGTAGGTACTTTCTTACGGAACTGTCCCAACAGGCTGTATGTCGATACAGGGGGTGCGTGCGTGCTTGCGCACATTTAAATCTTGCTCTCTGACTTCAGAGCTCTTCTACAACCTGACGGCGGACGTGGCCAAGAAGGCCGGAGGTTCACGGATCATCCTGGGTCCGTACGCCGACGGCATCACGCAGGTGTCGGGCAAGGCCGACCTCGCATACGACAAGCAGCTCTGCCGCACGCAGCTTGCTTACATCAAGGTGAGGCCTGGGGCAGCACTAGACCACCACCACTGTGAGCCTGGGTTCGAATCAATGTCTCAAACGACGAGTCCCAGTGACCGGGGGGCAGTGGTGGAGGTGAAGCATCGTTTGAGTTCCACCCTCGAGTTCCCATTTCGCCAAGGGTAGCCACCTCTAACGTAAAACAGAACACGGACATATCATGGGAATAAACATATCTCGCAATTCTGGAATATAGAACTACACGTGTAAATACCCTGTCTTGAGTCGTGCAGTATTATGTACCTCACAAAACTGGGGCATTTAATGTCCTAGTTTATATTACCGAGCGCGTCTCCAGCTACCTCAGTCGCCAGCATCTGGAGACTTGGATTCTCAAAGCCACGTCTCTCGCAGCCTCGCTGTGAAACCTCGCAGGGTGAATTCATGGTGGGGTTGATTTAAAGGGAGGGGAGGTGGTTTTTTTCCTTCTGTGTGAAAAATTGGGATAAACATTCCATCCGTCGGGTTATTTATTTGATCCATGAAGCAAGGGGGATGGGTCTGCGAGAGTCTCCACTTGCACACCATGGCCGGGACAATCAACGACAACCTTGACTCCGCTTTCCCTAAATAAGCTGACAATTAGGTGAATTGGTACATGAAAATTGTAATTGAAGCAATGCTTGTAAAATGTTGATATGGCTTCTTTGGCATACTGCGTAGTACTGTCCGCAGACTTTACTATCCAGGAAAGCCTCACAGGAAAGTCTCAAGACACCACCTGAAGCGTACACACACAGATTACAATGTTCAGTCTCAAGTCTCTTGTTCAGGAGGGCCCTACTAAGTTTTCACAGTAGATGGAAATGTTACTGTCTGTGTAATCCCAAATGAGTAATTTGTTCACAGTATTTCAGCATTGGGATATTTGGCCAATACTACTTACATTGTGTGTTTGTTTATCTATATGTTGAAACCCGGAGAAAATCCATGAAGAACAGGGAGATAAACATACAAACTTCACGCAGAAAGATGTCCAAGTCGGGAATTGAACCGGACCCTTCTTGCTGTGAGGCAGCAGTGATATAACTGGACTACCCTGCCGCCCAGTGTTAAAATAAAAACTGAGTGGCAATAAACACAAATGTACAATAAGGTGCTTTTATCTTCTGTTTTAAATTATAACAGTGGTGTAAATTGTACTTTACTATGGCAGGGGTGAGTCAATCTATTGAACAATGATGGTTGACCTTTCACAAAACCACAAATTTAATCCACCCTCATTCAATCACTCGTCAGTGATTCGGAAATGGTTAATAATAATTTCACTTTTTATTTCTCCCAATTCTATTTTTTGGAAGAAAAAAAATATTCCACTGTCGCAGCAACGGTTTAAAAATAAATAACAACATATATTTTAAACGTTTACAACAACTTTATTGGGTCGTAGCCTTGCATGGATCTTTTTTTCGTGTCGGCAGTTTTGTCCTGCGAGGACTCGGTCTGCGGCGCGCGCCAGCGTCTGTCTGTCCGTCCGTCCGTTCGTCGTTTGCGCAGCAAGCACCCCCAGCAACCGTGGCCTCGCGCGGGGGCTCCAGCGTCACTCAGACGGCCCGGGGATATTTTCTCTCTCTCTCCGCTGCACTCGTGCAAGTGCGGGGATGTAAAACACGTGCTGCCTGATTATTGTTTTAGTAAATTTTCATCTTGTTATTTTGGTGGCCGCCACGGGGCCGCCCGGCCGCCGTACCACTCGAGGGCTTTGTTTGTGAGCCACGCAAAGTCACCGCGATGATTATTCTGCTTTGGTTGATGGTAAAGAAGATATAAACTAAACTATTTTTAATTTTACCGGTAAGGCCCACTGAGCTATATAGCTATTTTTTTCAGAAGGGACCTGGCCACAAATGATAGCTCAACGAAGTGGCTTATCATGTGGAAATTTCTAGCATCCAAATACTCTAAACGCGCATTTCTAAATGTGGAGGGAAAAACCGGAGGACCCGGAGAAAAATCCACACGACCATGGGGAGAGAGACACGCAAACTCCAAATATACAGGCGTCAGGGTCGGGATCGAATCCACTACCTCCTGAATACCAGGCGAGGTAGTCAACATCTCGCCACAGTGGCACCCCAGTTTGGAAATAGTTCGAAGTCACTTGGAAAGTTTCCATATTTGGTATTCATCAAGGGTGACGTATCCTATAAAATAGTGGACTCCAAAACATATTTATAGCACAGTTATTAAATATTTAAGAAAAAACATCCCAGGAGGGCGCTCTCTTTTCCCATTGATTAATTCTGTCGAGCTCCCCACGTCCACACCTCCAAATCACTTTTCCGATGTCTACACAATGTTCAACAACAAGACATTTGTTTTATTCAGACTTTTGAAATTTGTGTCCATGCCTGATCCAATGTCTGAAAACTGCGACTGCAGTGTGTGGGGTACAGATCCTCCTGGCTGATTAAATGCCCCATTACCACTTTGTTACGGAAATGCAATTTAGAGTAATTACTTAATGACCTAAACATAAACGTTTGACTCGCTCGGAGCGTTCATCCACATGAACTCTTGATTGCACGTTAGTTCTGTGCAGTAAGTGCTCTTTGGATATTGTAATATCATTTAACACAATTCTATATCATCGTGTCATTTACTTCTGCAGGAACACCTCTCTCTGAGTCTCAATGCTCTTTTTCAGGAGAATCCTACACCAGAATGTTTGGCCAATTCCTTTTTAAGACGTTTTTTGACACGTGGTCGGAAACAGGAGTCATCTGAAACAGTGGGTGAATTTATTTCATAGAGAGAAGAGTCAGTCATAGGCAGAGGAGAAGAGGAGGGTCTAGACCCTGGAATTGAACATAGGAAAGGGAGTCGGCAGCACGGGTGGCTGGGGAAAGGGAGTTCCAGACAATCAGAGCAGCACAGGAGAATGAGTGACCTGCCACTGAACGAAGGTTCACTGAGGGCTTCAGAAAAAAAGTCTTGGTTGCTGGAGCAGAGAGTGCATGGAAAGAAATAGAGTGAGATGAGAGGGGAGAGGTAGGAGGGCGTGTGCAGGTGAGTAGGGTGAGATCAGTGGGGAGATGCGGGCGGGGGTGAGTCCATTCTGGATGTTGACAATGGTGAGGTGCGACCTTAATTCTGGCAGCGTGCGTCTCTGCGCCTAGCACGCCGTGCGGGGTAGCGAGCGAACGCCTCGTCTGTCGGCAGAGCCACGTGCACGGGTGCGCAGTGCGACTCCGCAAACAACTACCGCTGACGCTCGCTCGCCAGATTACAAACAGCTTCTCCTCGACGTGTGGAAGTGTCGACCGCGTTTTATTTTTTAACCATCGTCTGCCTTGACGGACAAATGCAGAAACTTGATATGACGCGTCGGGCGCAGCGTGTGTCCCCGATGGCACGGCGGTGGCGAGATATCATCTGCCTTGCCTGGTATAGAGAAGGTCGTGGGATCGTTCCCGACCCCGCCGCCTGCTGTATATTTCGAGTTTTCATGCTCTCCTTTTGGTCGTGAGCGCCGCGTGCGTGGGTGCCACGTGCGTGGGCGCCACGTGTGTGGGCGCCGCGTGGGCTACGTCTCGGTGTCCGAGTGAGTCGGCCAGAGAACTATAATTCAACTTGGGTTTTTTTAAATCATTATTATTACTGAACGGAGTTATGGAAAACAAAGTTAATTGTTTTTTGTCTCGGTCGAAATTCACAATTGTTTATGCTCCAGTGAAAGCTTTATGAGCCTGTAGTTTTCTTCTTCACATTTTTGTAAATTCTGTGCATTTCTATCATGCGCCTATTACTGTTACGATTTTTTTCTCCAAACGAAGAGTTTTCAATAAAGTATTTATATTTTTCAGCACTGCATGACACATGTATGATGGTAATTATGCTAGCAGTGATTATTATGTCAATGGTAATAGCACTGATATTGATGATGATTATTGTGATGATTATTCTGATGATGATAAGCATAATGAATGTAGAGATCATGATAACAATAGTTATATCATTTATGAAGTAGTTCATAATGGTCATAACGACGATGATTATGATATCACGATGATGATGATGCTGCTGAATCCGCTTGCAACGTGGTAACGTGGCTCGCGGCACTGTGGGTTTTCATTCCGCCAGCGGGACATGAGGGACGTGATCTCGCCGCTGGCGTTTGAGGTGTCCTACTGGCTGGGCAAACACCACGTTGACGACGTGGGCGGCACCAACGGGCGGCCCAGATTCCCCTCGCTGGAGCCCATCCTGCGCTGGAACGACGGGCGTGGCAGCGTCGTGCGCAACAAGGTGCCGCGGGCAGGAGGGACCAAACAGCGACAAAAAACAGTGACTTCACTGAGCCTCGAGACTCTTTGTCAGGAGGGTCCTGCCAAGTTTTTGTAGTTAAGCGCAATGTTGCTTCTCTGTGTAATCCTAATAGTTCAGCGTTGGGATGTTTGGCCGAATCGAGGTCACATTGTATGGGGGTATCTTTAGCTATGGGAGGAAACCGGAGAACCTGGAGGCAACCCATGCAGGACAAGGGGAAAACCTACAAACTGCACATGCTCACACACACCCACATACTTACTCACACTGTCACTCACACTGCAGAAGACAGGGGAAGGGCATTCAAGATTCACGTCGAAAGGCACCCGAGTCAGGCATTGAACCCAGGCAAGAAGTACCCTGCAGGCTTGTCAAGAGACGCGGCATTTTTATTCGCCGTGCCAAGCGATCAATTTCGCGACAACTGCAATACACAGAGGCTGTGGTGATTGAAGCCCAACATGAGGCTTCAGTCCTGTGCAGCGGATTTGTGACGAAGCTGGTGGAGCAAACGCTGTGGGCACACACGAAATTGATTTTGCCAAGAGGAGGGTACTCTGCAAGCCCACTTTTGTGATCCCCGCAATGTAGGACCCTTTCAAAACCATTACTTTACCCTACATTGCGGGGATCACAAAAAAGATCTCCAAAATCTTGAATAAACACAAGATCCAGGTCCGTTTCAACACATTACATAAAATCCGTGATCTGGTTCCGTCTGTAAAAGATGTGAATCCGGACATACAGTACCCTGGTGTCTACAAACTAAGTTGCCTCTGTGGTAGTAGTTACATTGGAGAAACCAAACGCCATGTCTCGGACCGCATTCGTGAACACAAAGCAGACCTTAAACACGGTAGGACCAACACCTCGGCCATGGCAGATCACTGTTATAATTCAGTAGGCTCACATGACATTGACTTCTCCAAGACAGAGGTTCTTTGCAAGCCATCTGGCTACCATGAGAGATTTGTTCATGAGGCTATCCACATATACAAGCACAGAGACAATTTCAACCGAGAAGATGGATTCTATCTTAGCAGTCATTGGAAGGATTTGATAAACCATTTCAGGTCTTAATTGATTGTTCACGCTTACGGTGGCTTTCAGACAGCATACATTAATTTTTCATCTCCCCCCTACTCTTTTCAAAACATAGATGGACTCGTCCTTCTAAAAAAACTGCCAAATCGCTGCCCGTGGCGCTACCGTTTTTTAAAATTAATAAAAAAACACACTGGTTTTTTTTAAAATAAATAAATAAATGCGGCCCGCCGCTTCTTTCAAATGTTTCTTGCCGTTGTTTTTTTTCACACCTGATGATGACCGTTTGTGTTATGGTCGAAACGTCGTGAGAATTGTTTTGTTTTATATATATTATTATTTTATTATTTCCCTTCAACGTGACTTTACCGAAAGAGCTAAGAATACGTTGTGATATTGTTATTATTTGTATTTTATTATTTGTTCTATCTACTTGGCTTTACCGAAAGACCCAAAGAATATGAATTATTGCAGTCACGAAAGCTTTAAGTCAAGATTTAACGCAACACATTCTTAAAAAATAACACCGTGGTCTGAATATATATATAAACGGTTACGTTTCGGGTAATGACTGAAGAAGGGCCATTTCCCAAAACGTCACTTATCTATATTTGTTTTAAGTCACAGTGCTATTGACGAATCAAACGTGCGTGCAATTTTCCATTTCTCAAATATTTCCCGTGTGCACTCTCGCAGACCGTGTTCGAGAGGAATTGCTTCAACGAGGATTGCGCCACTGACATGAAGTTGGAGGCCAAGATGTTCAGCAAAAGGTGAGAGCCGTTGCGACTGTTGGCTTCTCTTTAGTAGCGAATAATGAACCACTCTTCCCCTCTGTGCATAGTGTTCAGTTTACTTATTCCCTGCTGCCTTGGAAAAACGTTATATCTGATGGGAGTGGTTCTCACGTGAACTTTATACGTGGAGGATATGAAAGATGGGTGTGGTTAATGCAATGTTACAAATAAAAAACTTACAACATTTTTATTTTACCAGGTAAGGCCCACTGAGCTATGTAGCTGTTTTTCAGAAGCGACCTGGCCACAAATGATAGCTCAACGAAATGGCTTATCATATGAAAATGTATTGCAGCCAAATACTCTAAACACATTTTTTTAAACGTGGAAGGAAAAACCAGAGGACCTGGAGAAAAATCCAAGCGCCCACGAGGAGAACATGCAAACTCCAAACATATAGGCGTCAGGTTCGGAATTGAACCCACGACCTCCTGTATACCAGGCGAGGTAGTTAACATCTCGCAATAATGGCCCCTAACTTGTCCAGATCTCCCTTTCGCATCACGAGTCAAAGCTCGCGGCTCCCGGCGCTGCTGCTGCTGCTGCTGCTCCTGAGCGGCAGTGAGTGCGCCATCCGCATTAAGCGCAAACTGGTAAAAAAAGTAATTTAACCAACCTATGTAAATGAGTTGTAATTTCCACCATGCCTACGGGAAAATCAGATGAACTCTCTTGAACCCTTCTCGTGCTACGCTTCAACAAAACATGTTTTGCATTGAGCGCATTTATTTCTCTCGACTTAGCGTGGTAAATTAATAAATGAATGCACGGCACGATGCCAATGGCGCGTTCCATCATAAATCTTTACCATTCGTTTGTTTGGTTTAAGAAAAAGCGGTGTTCTCGGTTGTACAAGGCCGGTGACTTTACCGCAGGTTTTCGCCGAGTTCTGTGCCAGCTGGCTCCAAACTCGCCTTTAAGCGCTCCGCGTGAATCCGCGGCTGATTATTTTGCCGTAGCAGCACATTTTTGGGGGTTTTTAGGTTCTATACTGGCAGATTCGAACAAAACTGCCATTTTCTTGGGAACTGCGAGCGTACTTCGCACACTCACCGTTCACCACGAGCGCATGCGGTGATCCGAGACTTTTTTTGCGTGAATGCAGCAGCTTCGGGTTTCGTCAGTAAGTCATTGGGAATGCACGCATGAGTGATGCGTGCGTGCATGGGCGATGCGCTCGTGGGCGATGCGCACGTGGGTGATGCACGCGAGCACGTGAACGCCCCAAGTGGGGTGAGCTGCGACGTGCGCAGGGCGGAGGGCGCGTGCCACTTGTGTCAGGCCTCCGGTGGGGTGGGAGACATCGGCGGGAGGTTGATTGCCACACCTGCGGCGGCTTTGCTAGTGTTCCGTGTTTGCAAACCCACATCGAAGACAATTTGTTTTAGAAGTCACGGTGTTGGCTTATTGTAGTTACTTCGGGGTTTGCGCTATTTATTTTTCCAGTATTTAGTTGGCAAATTTTTAGGGAAACCGCTGCGGCGAAATTAACTTTTTCTGTTGTAGATGTGTCCACTCCACAAACATAGCCGGGTAAACGGCCGGGGCCTGCAGGCCACATCGTTAGGTGCGATGCACATGCTCGCAGTGAGGCCCCACGTGGGTTTTGGGTGTGTTGGTGCACCACCCAGGCAGGCAAGGGAATTCGGCTTCACTAATTCGTGTGCGACACGCCACCCGGTTGTCCATGCGCTGCTGCGGTGGTTCCCAGCCTGTGGTCCGTGCACCACTGGAGCTCCTCGAGGCCATGGGAAGTTAACCACCGGATACAGTGCAGTTCACAATGTTTTATACAAAACACCACGTTTTTACCGCATGGTGGTCTGCAACATTTTCTGAAGGGCTCGGTGTTCCATGCATCAAGAGAGATCGCTGACTTAAGAACACTGAGCACCTTGTGAACATTAATCGCATGTGAGATGGGCTGAGCTGATTTGTGAAGCTGTGTTGTGGGCAGCAGAGGGGCGGTGCAGCATAACATATTGTTGTACTGTACTTCTATGCTCGCATTTCTATGCTCCCCGTCTTCGCCAACTCGTACTGACCATTGTGGTGATGACTGATCAAATAACCATGACCAATACACCGTGGGGAGGTCCCCGTCCAGCAATGTACTGGTAACAGGTTGTAAAATGATCTTTGTAATGGGGTGACTACCTCTAAACTTGCTGCCTGGTCCCACCTGGAACCGTGGGTGGGTTCCCTCGTCGGCGGGAACGGGAGAAAGACGCAGGCGCTGGTGGCAGGGCGATAATGCTGCGCTGGGACTTTCAGTGCCATCCAGACGGAAGAGCTGGTGATCGGGGATGGGCGTACGGTGTCACTGAACGTGACAGTGAGGAACGAGGGTGACGACGCTTACGACGCCACCACCACGCTCTCCTTCCCCAGCTCGCTCTTCTTCGTCAAGGTTTGGGAGCCGGTGAGTGAACCTATCGGAAAGTCAGTTCACCCACCAACTGTTCAGTAAGTCAATCGGTTCACCAATTATTTGCCGAATGAACAATCAAACATTGATCCATTCGTCAAGTCAATCACTCATCTTGACCTCGTGCCGCTAGACCCTCACAGACACGAGTTCATGTTTTACTTGTCAGTGTTTTACTTGTTAGTGTTTTACTTGTCAGTGTTTTCGATCATTCAATCAATAAACCAATGACTCAGCAACTAGGCAATACACTAATCATTCAATCATTCAAACAGTCAATTACCAAATCCTTCAACTAATCAATTACTATTTCAAGCAACTGACCAACTTGTCATGCTTTTAATTTACACATAATTCAATGAAACAACCAATTAATCATTCAGCCACTGTGAAGGAGACCGCCTGTGTCAGCCTGTGTCAGCCTGTGTCAGCCTGTGGCTGCCTGTGTCAGCCTGTGGCCGCCTGTGGCCGCCTGTGGCCGCCTGTGCCAGCCAGTGGCCGCCTGTGTCAGCCTGTGGCCGCTCCTGGTTCATGGAACAAACAAGGACTGGGCCCCAAACACTCGGGGAAAGGACAACTAGAAACACAATTTCCAGAAACCCAGACGAGTAGTATAAACAGTCAGGGGAAGTTAGTGAATTATTGTTCTTAATGAAATATATAATAATCTGCCACGATCTGCGCACATTGTTCAGTATCAGACCCCACCTCCAGTGGCTTGGCACACGCCACTCATCTTGACCTCGTGCCGCTAGACCGTCACAGACACGAGTTCGTGTTTTACTTGTCAGTGTTTTACTTGTTAGTGTTTTACTTGTTAGTGCTTTACTTGTTAGTGTTTTACTTGTTAGTGTTTTACTTGTCAGTGTTTTACTTGTTAGTGTTTTACTTGTCAGTGTTTTACTTGTTAGTGTTTTACTTGTTAGTGTTTTACTTGTTAGTGTTTTACTTGTTAGTGTTTTACTTGTTAGTGTTTTACTTGTTAGTGTTTCACTTGTTAGTGTTTCACTTGTTAGTGTTTTACTTGTCAGTGTTTTACTTGTCAGTGTTTTACTTGTTAGTGTTTTACTTGTCAGTGTTTTACTTGTTAGTGTTTTACTTGTTAGTGTTTTACTTGTCAGTGTTTTACTTGTTAGTGTTTTACTTGTCAGTGTTTTACTTGTTAGTGTTTTACTTGTCAGTGTTTTACTTGTCAGTGTTTTACTTGCCAGTGTTTTACTTGTTAGTGTTTTACTTGTTAGTGTTTTACTTGTTAGTGTTTTACTTGTCAGTGTTTTACTTGTCAGTGTTTTACTTGTCAGTGTTTTACTTGCCAGTGTTTTACTTGTTAGTGTTTTACTTGTTAGTGTTTTACTTGTTAGTGTTTTATTTGTCAGTGTTTTACTTGTCAGTGTTTACTTGTTAGTGTTTTACTTGTTAGTGTTTTACTTAGTTAGTATTTTACTTGTTAGTGTTTTACATGTTAGTGTTTTACTTGTCAGTGTTTTACTTGTTAGTGTTTACTTGTTAGTGTTTTACTTTTTTTGATTTAAAGCTTTCGTGACTGCAGTAATTCATATTCTTAGTTTTTTCGGTAAAGTCACGTTGAAGAGAAACAACAAAATAACAAAATATATATAAAACAATAAAAAAAAAATTCTCACGAGGTTTCGACCATAACTCAAACGGTCATCATCAGGTGTGTCGGTTTGCATAAATTTATTTTTAAAACGGCACATTTATTTATTTATAAAAAACGTTGGCGTCACGCGCAGCGATTGGCAGTTTGCCCAGGACTAGTCCATCTATTTTTTTGAAAAGAGGAGGGGGGAGACGAAATTTTTTATAATGTATGCTGTCTGAAAGCCACTGTAAGCGTGAACAATCAATCAAGAACTGAAATGATTTATCAAATCTTTCCAATGATTGCTAAGATAGAATCCATCTTCTCGGTTGAAATTGTCTCTGTGCTTGTATATGTGGATAGCCTCATGAACGAATCTCTCATGGAAGCCAGATGGCTTACAAAGAACCTCCGTCTTGGAAAAGTCAATGGCATGTGAGCCTACTGAATTAGAACAATGATATATATATTTTGTTATTTTGTTGTTTCTCTTCAACGTGACTTTACCGAAAAAACTAAGAATATATATAGTGTTTTACTTGTTAGTGTTTTACTTGTTAGTGTTTTACTTGTTAGTGTTTTACTTGTTAGTGTTTTACATGTTAGTGTTTTACTTGTCAGTGTTTTACTTGTCAGTGTTTTACTTGTTAGTGTTTTACCTGTTAGTGTTTTACTTGTTAGTGTTTACTTGTTAGTGTTTTACTTGTTAGTGTTTTACTTGTTAGTGTTTTACTTGTTAGTTTACTTGTTTGTGTTTTACTTGTCAGTGTTTTACTTGTTAGTGTTTTACTTGTTAGTGTTTTACTTGTTAGTGTTTTACTTATTAGTGTTTTACTTGTCACTGTTTTACTTGTCAGTGTTTTACTTGTTAGTGTTTTACTTGTTAGTTTACTTGTTAGTGTTTTAGTTGTTAGTGTTTTACTTGTTAGTGTTTTACTTGTTAGTGTTTTACTTGTCACTTTTTTACTTGTTAGTGTTTTACTTGTCAGTGTTTTACTTGTTAGTGTTTTACTTGTCAGTGTTTTACTTGTCAGTGTTTTACTTGCCAGTGTTTTACTTGTTAGTGTTTTACTTGTTAGTGTTTTACTTGTTAGTGTTTTACTTGTCAGTGTTTTACTTGTCAGTGTTTTACTTGTCAGTGTTTTACTTGCCAGTGTTTTACTTGTTAGTGTTTTACTTGTTAGTGTGTTACTTGTTAGTGTTTTATTTGTCAGTGTTTTACTTGTCAGTGTTTACTTGTTAGTGTTTTACTTGTTAGTGTTTTACTTAGTTAGTATTTTACTTGTTAGTGTTTTACATGTTAGTGTTTTACTTGTCAGTGTTTTACTTGTTAGTGTTTACTTGTTAGTGTTTTACTTTTTTTGATTTAAAGCTTTCGTGACTGCAGTAATTCATATTCTTAGTTTTTTCGGTAAAGTCACGTTGAAGAGAAACAACAAAATAACAAAATATATATAAAACAATAAAAAAAAAATTCTCACGAGGTTTCGACCATAACTCAAACGGTCATCATCAGGTGTGTCGGTTTGCATAAATTTATTTTTAAAACGGCACATTTATTTATTTATAAAAAACGTTGGCGTCACGCGCAGCGATTGGCAGTTTGCCCAGGACTAGTCCATCTATTTTTTTGAAAAGAGGAGGGGGGAGACGAAATTTTTTATAATGTATGCTGTCTGAAAGCCACTGTAAGCGTGAACAATCAATCAAGAACTGAAATGATTTATCAAATCTTTCCAATGATTGCTAAGATAGAATCCATCTTCTCGGTTGAAATTGTCTCTGTGCTTGTATATGTGGATAGCCTCATGAACGAATCTCTCATGGAAGCCAGATGGCTTACAAAGAACCTCCGTCTTGGAAAAGTCAATGGCATGTGAGCCTACTGAATTAGAACAATGATATATATATTTTGTTATTTTGTTGTTTCTCTTCAACGTGACTTTACCGAAAAAACTAAGAATATATATAGTGTTTTACTTGTTAGTGTTTTACTTGTTAGTGTTTTACTTGTTAGTGTTTTACTTGTTAGTGTTTTACATGTTAGTGTTTTACTTGTCAGTGTTTTACTTGTCAGTGTTTTACTTGTTAGTGTTTTACCTGTTAGTGTTTTACTTGTTAGTGTTTACTTGTTAGTGTTTTACTTGTTAGTGTTTTACTTGTTAGTGTTTTACTTGTTAGTTTACTTGTTTGTGTTTTACTTGTCAGTGTTTTACTTGTTAGTGTTTTACTTGTTAGTGTTTTACTTGTTAGTGTTTTACTTATTAGTGTTTTACTTGTCACTGTTTTACTTGTCAGTGTTTTACTTGTTAGTGTTTTACTTGTTAGTTTACTTGTTAGTGTTTTAGTTGTTAGTGTTTTACTTGTTAGTGTTTTACTTGTTAGTGTTTTACTTGTCACTTTTTTACTTGTTAGTGTTTTACTTGTTAGTGTTTTACTTGTTAGTGTTTTACTTGTTAGTGTTTTACTTGTTAGTGTTTTACTTGTTAGTGTTTTACTTGTCAGTGTTTTACTTGTTAGTGTTTTACCTGTTAGTGTTTTACTTGTTAGTGTTTTACTTGTTAGTGTTTTACTTGTTAGTGTTTTACTTGTCACTGTTTTACTTGTTAGTGTTTTACTTGTTAGTTTACTTGTTTGTGTTTTGCCTGTTAGTGTTTTACTTGTTAGTGTTTTACTTGTCAGTGTTTTACTTGTTAGTGTTTTACCTGTTAGTGTTTTACTTGTTAGTGTTTTACTTGCCAGTGTTTTACTTGTTAGTGTTTTACCTGTCAGTGTTTTACTTGTCAGTGTTTTACTTGTTAGTGTTTTACTTGTTAGTGTTTTACTTGTCAGTGTTTTACTTGTCAGTGTTTTACTTGTCAGTGTTTTACTTGTTAGTGTTTTACTTGTTAGTGTTTTACTTGTTAGTGTTTTACTTGTCACTGTTTTACTTGTCACTGTTTTACTTTAAATTTCGATGTAAAGCTTTCGTGACTGCAATGATTCATCTTCTTTGGTTCTTTCGGTAAAGTCACGTAGAATGATAATAAAATAATATATTGATAAAATAACACAATAATATTCTCACGACGTTTCGGCCACAACACAAGCGGCCTTCATCAGGTGAAGGGGGCTTTGTGTTCGCGGATGCGGTCCGAGATATGTCTTTTGGTTTCTCCAATGTAGCTACTACCACAGAGGCGCTTTAGTTTGTAAACGCCCGGGTACTGTATGTCTGGAACAGCATCTTTTACAGATGGAACTAAATCACGGATTTTATGTACTGTGTTGAATTGGACCTGGATCTTGTGTTTGTTCAGGATTTTGGAGATCTTTTTAGTGACCCCTGCAATGTAGGGTAAGGTGATGGTTTTGAGTGGCTCCACAAGAGGATCCTTCTTCATGACTGGAG